GCTTAATCGAAATCATCGTTGGATAGTGTTCTTGATATCTGTTTTTGACATGCTTTATATATCTAAGACAGTAAAATTAGGGTCTTTGAGGTTGTTTTATCACTTCAAAAGCATAAATTACTTAAAAAGGTCAAATCTTCCATCATCCTATGCTTGTAAAACAACCTCAAAGAACCTAACTTAGTAGGGGTAGAGATCACCCTCAAAATCTCTGTAATAGTTATATGAAAAAAGCTTTAAATTTTTAATTAACTCGACTTGGGGGTGTTCTCAAATAAGAAAAAATCCAGACTTTGTCAATGTTGAGTGTCCCATTTTTGTTTGTTTGTAATCTAGTTAAGCAAATTTGGAGCCAAACCATGTTGTTGGGAAAGTGTATGTGTGAAATTTGTCTTTTGCAAGTTCATGGGTATATTTGTCTGCAATAGTCCAGTTGACATATTAGAAGTCATGAGTGATCCAATTGATTTGAGTGGGGATGGAGGTGTCTTGAAGACAATAATCCGGAGTGCAAGACCTGATGCTGTTGCTCCATCTGAGAGTCTTCCGCTTCTTGATGGTATCTATGCTCAATGCTGATACTTTTCATGTTATTTATCGTCATTATTTGAAACTTGTGCCCAGTTGCATATGTGGAAATATAAACGTGCACAGCTGTAGATTTTTTTTCCCCAAGTGGATGATGGATAACCATTATTAGGTGAAGTACAAGATGTTGATTGCCTTTTATTAGGATGTTATTATTAATTGATATTATTTTTCCATTTTAATTTAGAATAAATAAATGTATAACATTATAGTGCATCTTTCTATTTTTTTTCCTTTTGCTGCATTTCAATATATCTTTCTTCCTTTTATTTTTTTTTTTGTTTGTATTTCCATTGGTTATAACATAGTTATGCTCAATTTGTCTTCACATGCGCTATCGGGCCACTCCAGCTTGTTACTTTTTCCTTTGCATTCTATATTTGAAAATGTTATTAGGAAAAGGAAGGGAAGTATGAGTTTTGTTTATTTTTGAACAGTTCATTATGAAGGGATTCTTGCTGAGACCGGTGAAGTTTTTGACACCACAAATGAAGATAATACTATCTTCACCTTTGAGTTGGGCAAGGGATCTGTAATTAAGGCTTGGGATATTGCACTGAAAACCATGAAGGTCAGTTTTTGTGCATCTAGTAACTTATAGTTCTTATCATTACATTGACTTCTCAAATCTCTTATATGTTTCAGGTTGGTGAGATTGCAAAGATAACTTGCAAGCCAGAATATGCATATGGCAGTGCTGGTTCCCCTCCTGATATTCCCCCTGAGTAACATACTCTTTCCTTCTTTAGCCTTAATTGCTTCATTTGAAGTAGCATTTTTTTTTTTTTGTGTGGCAGAGTAGCATGGATGAGTAAATATTTTTCACTTCCACTGTAGCTGAAAGAAACTATTGGATCCAATTGTGAGGTTTTTATACAGGGATCAACTTTTCTAAAATCTGATCTTGGACAAAAGGGTTGCTGACTTGCTGTAGAAAGCATTCTTGCTTCATAAATTGCAAAATTCATAAATTGCAAAACCGTAAATGTTTTGAATGAATGATTCCTTTATAAATCGGTCACTTAAAACCAGTCTGTTAAAACATGTGAATATATTTTGGGTAAAGAAATCTACCACTTAAGCTTATTGGTTTATGGGTTGAACTTGAATATTGTGCACAAGCGGACATGGTTTCACATAATATTTCTTGGTTTATTTAGACGTGACCTGCTATTTTCCTCGAGAAATTCTTTTCAAACTGGCTCCCTTTGAAAAAATTGGAAGGGAATTAATGACAAGATGGCTTCCGGTGCTTCTTGTAAATTTGAATTAGAAGTGAAAAACGAAGGGGGTACTCAGTCATGTTAAAATGGGTTTTGTAGAAAAAAACCCCTTCATGGATAAGATAAATGAGAACCAAATTTTTTGGTACTTATTGGTCCATTTTAGGTACTAGAGCTCCTCGATACTGTAGCAACCAGACACATTCTTGTTTAGCTAATGTCAGGTTGTATTTAGGTCTTATATATAGTTTATATGATCAATTTATAGTTTACAACATTCGGTTGGGGAAAGAACCATCTGGCTGTGTTAGGTAACAAATTCAAAGTATGATCACTCGACTTATTCAGCATTCAAAGTTTAGACTATAGAATAAAATTTTTGTCCGATTTATGGGCATAATCTGGGCTTTTTGTGACTTTCGATCGGAAAAAATAACTGGATAAATCTGGGCCTTTTGTGGCTTTCTTGGACATTTTATTTAATAATTTTAATTTTTAAAAATATTAATAATGAACGCATGAAAGCCACGTTCTGAGTTAGTATGAGCTTCTGATTTTGTTATCCAAGTTGAATGGGCAAACTACCTCTTTTCTTCTTAATTCGGATCAAAGTCTCGTTCTACATGCTTATAATCCACCCTCACATAATTTTCAACAAAACCAGATTTTAGTAGACGACAAATCTTTCGTGAGATTTATTATTACTTTTTGACAGAGGTTTGAATTTTATTTATGCAGCTCGACACTAATATTTGAGGTTGAGTTGGTGGCTTGCCGACCTCGGAAGGGCTCTAGTCTAAGCAGTGTGTCGGATGAGAGAGCTCGGCTGGAGTAAGTGTTGGTTATATACTTTCAATTTGTGGATGGAATAACTGCTTTTGTTTTTCGCATTGTGAGGATAATGCAAACAGAAACTATCCATGTGGTCTGGCCCAATGGGAAATGCTCCCCTACCCACGGTGGGCACATGTTCATGCACACATTGGTGATGTTAATATATTTAAAAAATTACATCACCAATGTGTGCATGCCACATAAGCTGTGTGCATATTAACATGTGGCCACCGTGGGTAGGGGAGCATTTCCGCTGGCCTAATTACAAAATAGTTGTAGTTATTTTTCCAACATTAGAAGAATATTCTCCCTTAAGATTTGTATTTATCTGATCGCTCCATGTTTGAGGAAGCTATTTGTTAAAAATAAAAAAACCAAATATCAATATGGTATATTTTTAGTTTTGTGAGATACCCAGGTTTTCTTTTTCAAATTTCAATCAGGCAAAATGTAATCAACTCATGTTTTATTTAGCCTCGTCATAATTTCTATAACTTCTGATCATAGATATGTAAGAAATTCCAATGGTTTGTTTTTAGGGAGCTTAAGAAGCAGAGAGAAATTGCGGCCTCGGTTAAAGAGGAAGAAAAAAAGAAAAGGGAAGAAGCAAAAGCTGCTGCGGCCGCTAGGATTCAAGCCAAACTTGAGGCCAAGAAAGGTCAAGGCAAAGGCAAGGGTAAAGCCAAATAGGAAACAGGAATTTAAAAGTTATCTTTCCCGTTTTAGTATTTTGATGCTACAATATAAGGAGCTAATAAAGCCTCTTATTAGCTTTGATATCTTTTGAACTTAACAATGTAGCAATTATTAGCAAGATTGGTAGCTTTGTGCCTGTGTTTGCTAATATTTGTTTATGGGGTGCTTCTTTTTAGGACACCATATTGTGTTTTGCTTTATGACCTCTGAGAATAATGTCTTAAAATTCCCAGGATTAAGTTAATTGTGCTGTTACCGGAGCATGGCTCGTGCAGTACTAAGTAAGCAATTTTTTTTTTTGTGCAAATATAAAGCATATCTATATCTATATATATATATATATATATATATATATATATATATATATATATATATATAGAAGTGCGCTCAAATGGGAATGAGTTGAAAGAAATAAGAATAAATGTAGGCCTTTAGATCTAGCAAATTAATGGTCATGATGGAGTCAAAATTAGTAATTAGAGTCAAATTCATTAAGGGTAGTGTAGTCAATTGATACTCATTGGGGGTATTTTTGTCATTAATAATAAATCCTAATCACTAATGGGCCCACCACACTCACCAACCCTAAATCTCTTTCTCTCTCATTTTCACACACACAAACACACACTAACTCTGTAACTCATGCCACACAAACACACACACTACATCAATGGTCAAAGCCGGTCAGATCCACTGGTCCAGTCACCGGCAATTGACAGATCGCCGCTGCAACAGTATCCCGTCACCAGCCGCAACTAATTCTCGGACTTCCGGCGAAGAAGGCTTCCAACACGGCAGAGTAGATATATTCGGGTCGGTGCCGATTGTCGGCCGCCGGGGGATTATTTTCCGGAGACAGAGGCGGAGGAAGATGAACGGCGAGATATGTGGTCGCCGGATAGTTGCAGCGGCCGGGCGTCAATGAAGCATCGAAAGGCTTCAAGCGTCCCGTCTCAAACGCCGGTGGGAGAAGATGCCGCGGACAGAGGGCGGATGGCGGAGGAGGCGGGCGGAGGCCCCTGTTCAGTGGCATATGGCAAATTGACGGGAATTTGGTGTTGTTTGTGTTTAGGGACTGATTATTGAGAATTGAATAAGTCAAAGGGACTTTGATGCAAATTTCCATTGTTTTTATATTTTAATATGTGTGGCATTCTTGTAATTTATTAAAAATTTAACAAGTGCACTTAAATGATAAAATCAATGCACAATATTGTGGACTAAAATGCATATTAAAAATTATGTTGTAATTTTATTATACTATAGACTTTGCACCGCTTAACGTTCGGTCGGTTTGGTTGTTTCACTGTTTTAAATAATAAAGCCGACATAGATTCCAAATATTCAAACTTTTAAAAGTAAAAAATAGATAAGATCGAAATATAAAAAAATTTTAATCGATAAATCTTAGTTCGGTTATCCTCGGTTAATAGTGTGCAATATGATAGACATTAATGTGCAGCTTGTCCAGCACGAGTGTGCACAGTCTCGATCGCTTTTGTGCATCCTAATCTGACCAAACTTTTTATTTCAACGTACATTAAAATTAATCTAAAATAGTTGGTGTATTCTACCGGTTAATTGTATAACCCTAAATAATCAAACAAATTTATTACTTATATTAATATTATATTTAATATTTTAATAATTTAATTTAATAATTTTATATTATCTTTTGGTTGAAAAAACATAATATATATAATCATGATTTTGATGTTGTGCATTTACACACCCGATAATGTGCATTTAGTCTAATATTATTGTGTAGGATATTGTGCATGTATTTTTTATTAAGTTAATAACGCATATTTCAATTAATATGACTTTGCACTTATCAAATTATTTATATAATAAAATATATTTAGTATTTATAACTTCTAATTAATATTCTATATATTATAGATTATTGACAATAACTAATATATGTGGAAGTTGGTCGGTTATGTTATTTTATTTATTTATTTATTTATTTTGTAATATTCTAATTTGCATTTTCAAACTATTGTGCATTTGATCTGACAATATTGTGCAGTCTGACTTTCACTAATGTGCATCTTGTTTGGTAATATTGTGAATTTATGTTTTTTATTTATTTTTTACTTGTTTGTTGATAGAATTAACTTAAATAATTGGAATATATTATTAATTATATACAAAAATAAATATTTTAATATCTTTATATTTATTTTATATTATTTTTGGTTTATAATAATAATATATATGTGTTAAAAAATGAATATAAAATAATGTGCTTTTATATATTTTCTGTAAATTCTAGATTTGGCCCAGGGACTAAATTAAAATATAGTCAAATTTTTTTGATTTTACAAATTGACCCCAAAGGTTTAATTGAAATAAACTAAAATTCTTAAATCTGCAAATCAGACCTTGAAGTTATTTAATTCTCAAACCCAAGTCCTCAGCTAACTATGTGTCTCAGCCGTTCCCACCGGCGACCGACCTCCGTCCGGCCACATCGTCGCAGGCGCCGTCCTCTCGTCGGAGGACAACTGATCGGTCACTGTCAGCCTAAATCTGTTGCACAACTGATCGGAGAGACGTCGCAACAATCGTCAGAGGACGACTGACGGCGACGGCCATTGAGACCCAACGCCCTGTCAAAACGGGTCGGCGGGGCGGGCCGGCCCGTAGCCCGCCATCCTGGCGGGCCTATGAAATGCCGGACCAACCCGCCTCCCCCCCCACGGGCCGCGAGCTTGGCGGGCCNAGCACAATAATCATAATAAAAAAACCAGAAACATCACAAATCATCACAACCCAAAAGAATCATCCCAATATCACAATTCACAAGTTCCCCATCACAAAAGCTTAAGAAATCACGAAATCATCACAACCCACACCAAAAGCATCATTCCAAGTTCCCCATCACAGTCAAAAACTAAACATTACAAGTTCATCAATCATCATAATCCCAAAATCACGAAAGCAAAAGAAAACAACTTAAAGTCCAAAGATATCAACTTCCCAAGTACTCATCATTCAAACATGAACAAATTCAAAGATCATCAACCATTACATTATTAAAAGGGTTAATTGCAGAAAAAATCATGACTTTTGCTTAAATTGCAAATAAAACTTCACCTTTTTAATTTGGCAAAAATATACTAAACCTTTTATAATTTTTGCAATTGTGTCTCGAAGTCACATTCCGGCCAGATGACGCTGACATGGCATGTCGTTAAATTGACGTGGCACCCAGGTGGATAACACGGGCATCGACACGGGCTCGGTGACCGTGTCACAGCCCGTGTCCCGACAACAGAAAAGAAGGAATGCAAAAGGATGTAACACGGACGACGACACGGGCTTCGTGACCGTGTCACGGCCCGTGTCGCGATACCAGCCCTTAAAAACACACTCTCATTCACTTTGCAAAAATAGGGACCAAATGCAGATAACTAATTTTGCAGAAACTAATATGTATAGGAATAAATAAAGTGCCGTATCTAATAGGCTTTAAGCAACATTGCTCATAGACGGTGCTTAGGACAAAGGAAAACAGTTGCTTCCTGTCATATGATTCAACTGTGCAACAGTAAATGCATTATATGTTGATCGAATTAAAGAATGGAGCACGTGACAACCTTAACAGACACAAAGCGATCACTCTGGTGCCTCTTGAACTTCTTCACAGCTTAACAATCTTCTTGTAGAGCAAAGGGAGAGTCATGACTCCTATGAAAAAAAAAGATCCTATCAATATTACAGAAAGTCGCAAATCAATCTTACTTCCACCATGCCTGAATTCTCAGCACTCACAGTGAGGATTAACAAAACATATAAAAAAGAAGAAAAAAAAAAGCAAGGTATTCACCACTTCTAACTGAGAAAACACACCAGCCCTTTTCCAAACTGAAATACAGTGATTCACAAGCACTTATATTTCAGTTTCTATGGCAAAAAATCCATAGAAACTTTCTACTGAAGCTTGCATTTTGCTGACACTCCCAAAATCACACCAAAAATAACTTTAGAGATACAACTACATGCATATCTCCGAGAAAGCAAATCTAATCAGCTCCAAATAGCTCACAAGAACACATAGTTTGCCATTAAACTTAAACGAATCGTTCCTCTCAGGTAAAATGTAATAATTTAAAGCAATAATAGCTGAACGCGCAGCCGCATAAACATGGTGGATAATCATTTTGAGAAAACAAACCAAAAAAATATCTCCACGATCATGTTTTTAAGGGCTGGCATCGCGACACGGGCCGTGACACGGTCACGAAGCCCGTGTCGTCGTCCGTGTTACATCCTTTTGCATTCCTTCTTTTCTGTTGTCGGGACACGGGCCGTGACACGGTCACCGAGCCCGTGTCGATGCCCGTGTTATCCACCTGGGTGCCATCAATTTAACGACATGCCATGTCAGCGTCATCTGGCCGGAATGTGACTTCGAGACACAATTGCAAAAATCATAAAAGGTTTAGTATTTTTTTGCCAAATTAAAAAGGTAGAGCTTTATTTGCAATTTAAGCAAAAGTCATGATTTTTCCTGCAATTAACCCTTATTAAAATCCTCGTTCTTTTCTCCATTATCTTCATCACCATCTTCAAAGATAGTTGGACAATGTGATGCTCCACTTGATGCAATCCTTGTGTAAGCACGTTCATCATTATCTACAAAGGAAATACATAAAATATAGTTAAAGAAAGATACAAATTTAAACTAAAAGTAGCTTAGAAACCAACTTACCAACAACATAACCATGTAACCAATTACGAGTGCAAATAAGGGCTTGGACTTTTTCGGGGAGGATGCAACTTCTATATTTTGTGAGCACACGAGCACCAACAGAAAATGCCGACTCCGAGGCAACGGTGGTGATGGGGATGGCAAACACATCACGTGCCATCAATGCAAATGTCGGGAATCGATTCTTACAACTTTTCCAATACTCTAAAACATCCAAATCCTCATTAAATGAAAAATCAAGTTTTGTCTCTTCTAAGTAGAGATCCAATTGAGATTTCCCGGCACTAGTAACTCTTCGACTCTCAAATGCCACGACATCCTACATCAAACAAAATATTTCATTTAATATTAAAGTCATTTATTAACTTTGTAGGCTACAGAGATAAAAAAACATTAACAATAAAACAACAAAAGAGGATTAAATACTTACACTAAACTTTTTTTTTCCCTTAGATTTTGATCCCGCTCCACTTTGCAAAGTAGATGTTGTAGACGGAGGCGGAAAATGTTGTGCTTGTGAAGAATGTGAGCCGGATCCGGAGTCGGAGCCGGAGCCGGTAGCATTCACATAATGCTCAAAGAGTTGATATAACTTTGCCTTCACATGTGAGATAGCCTCTTCAAATTTTACCAGATCATGCTCAACCGTGCTATAAAAATACTCCAACACTGGAAATTTAATCTTTGGGTCAAGAACAGTGTTTTAAAAGTCGTTAGGCGCCCACTAGGCGCTCGACCAGCGCCTAGCGCCTAGAGCGCCTAGGCGGGGCCTAGTCGGGGCCTAGAAATTTAATATAAAATACCTTATTTTTTTATTTATTTTAACTTCCTACAAAATAAAACTATCTCAATTTATGATAAATCCACACACTTAAGTCTAAATAATAATATTAATATATTTTAAAGAAAAATATGAGAACAAAGTAATGTAATTAATATTTAAAATAAATTTTTATTATCGTTTATAAGTATTTTTATTGCTCAATCTTTACAAATTTTATTAATATTATGGTTAAATGTTTGATCACCATTTTAATCTACATAATCGATTTCATAACCGAAAGGGGCGAAGTTGATAGAACTTGATTTGTTTAGAATAGACATGTTCGGAAACGTATTGTTTATGTGTTAACCGTTCCACTAATTCATTTATTTAAGTTTATTCGTATATTACGAGAGTTAGTACGGATAAACCTCTAGATGAGTAAATTAAGTGAATCGTTTAACTGAGTAATTTAATTACCGATAAATGTTAATAAAACCGGAATTGATTATCCCTAATACTTTCTGACGAACTATGCCTAACCGTATCTGCATCCTGACGGGCCGGACCCGGGTGTGGATCTGCAACCCGGCCCACCCCCGCCAATACCATGGACACCTGGCTAGGTGGGCTGACCCGCAAAATATAAAATAAAAGCCCAACTCCCAACGCCCATCCCCATTGTAAGTGAAAGCCCACGCCCCTTTTCTATTTCTTTCCCTCTATCTTTCTAAACCCTCCGTTCTATCTTTCTAAACCCTCTAAACCCTCCTCTTCGTAAAACCGAGTAAGGGTTTTCGCCAACAAAATGCAAGTGCAAGGAGCTCAGAATCCCAATGCGCCACCCAATGTGCAAGGTAATCCGCCACCGACTTTGCAAAGTAGCCACGATCGTTTTGCTCTTCTCTATGCCAATGCATATGGAGCTCCGCTTCTGGTCGGAGGTATCAAGTATTACAACTGGTTTTTTGTATTTTATTTATGTGATTGTTTGAGAGGAGAATATTGTGCCAAGGAATATATCTGTATCTGTTATTTCATATATCAAGTTGCTTGACCAGTTTGGAGTTGGATGTTTAATTATTGACCCATTAACCCCTTATTGTCAAGTTAAAGTTCTTAGTGGTGCCATACTTCTGTATTGTATACATGAATTTTGTTGGAATTGACCGATGATATATCTTAAAAAGGAGGTATATATACGAATTTTATTTGTATAACTAATTTTCCTTTCCTGTTATATTTGGATGTGGTCGGTTTTCTTGATTGTAGCTTCTTAATGTCTTGTGGATTCTGATTTCCTACAACACGGTTAGATGTTGAATCTACAGGGAAGTTATTTTTTGTTAATGTAATTATGATTCGTTTGGAGTTAGAAATTGTTTTTTCATGACGGAAGCTTCTGAAATTTTTGCATCCTCCAATTTTTACATATTTTTTCAGATTTTAAAGAATCTAACTGGTAAGTTTGTGTTGGGGTTTTTGCATCGATTTTTTGTAAGTATATACAAATTTCCTAAGTTTTAGGCTATTTATCAAGTTTTAGGCTATTTCTCTTGAAATTAAAATGTTCATTGATTTTTACTTTGCCAGTTTATCACCCTCAATTTCGTAAGTTTTAGGCTTTTTTCATGATATTGTACCTGAACATATTAGTTTCCCAATTTTTGTTAGTATTGGTATTCTGTATGCTATGTTTGCCTCATGGACCATTACTGAAAGATTAATGAATCAATTGGGGATAAAAACTAATGATCTTTCTGGGTTTCTTGTTTCTTTTGTTATGCCTTTTTATCTGATAACAAACTTGATTTGTTCTTATTGTTGTTCCTTTTCTTTTAATTTTTTTTATGTCATAGTAAAATTTCTTAAAATCACATAAGCAATTGTTATAATAAATGTAATATTTTTCAGCTAATTAATTGGTCATGATCGCTCAAAATTATAAAAAGTATATATTTATTACATTTTATGCAATCAATATAGTGATTCGTATACAATCAAATCGTGTGTACTATTTATTTTGATCAAATTTTAAAATATAATACTATTATATAATTTATAATTTTAATATTATATACATAAATATAACTTATAATACTATATGTTTGAAATATAATACAATTATATAACTTATAAGTTTTATATTATATACATAAATATAACTTATAATATTTAATTTTATTTACATTGTCGAATACTAGTATATAAATAAACTGGGCTAACTATACAATTCCCTACCTACGGACTTTAAATTCATGGCCATGAGATGTTTCGGTAAGGATTAAACCAGTAGAGCGGAGGGGCAACCCGGCATTATTGATCACAAATACCACCTTCCGTAAAATTACCTGCAGAACAAAGATTTTTTAATAAGGGTTAATGGGTCAATAATTAAGCATCCAATTCCAAACTGACCAACTTAGTTGGATGGATTCCTAATCCTAAAACTGAAATGTAATGGATCCTTAATCCTAAAACTGAAATGTAGTCGAGCAACTTGATCTGAGCAAGCAACTATATCATAGGCTACTATAAGTCTACGCACATATAAGATCAATCAATTAATACAGAGCAAGTCTACGCACATATAAGATCAATCATACAGAGCATAGTCCATGAATAATCATTCATTGAAAAGAGTTCCAGATAATCACACTCTCGCCCCACAAAGTTTCGACTATAACAACATGCCCACGTTTTTTAACTCACATTTTTTTACTTGAGTGTTTATCTAGCATTTCTAGGCAAAGGCTGGACTGAAATACGAAAAAACACGAAAAAAGGCTGGACTGAAACACGAAAAATAGATTAGAGACTGGACTGAAACACGAAAAAGACAGAACTTCCCCTAAACATTACCTGCCCCTGATCTTGGCCCCACTCTATACGGTAAAGGTTTACCTCACACACTGCATCCCGAACATTAGCATACGCGGTTACAAAAGCCTGGCGGTCATAAGTGATCCCACCCTTCACAAAACTCGGAAATGGCAGTCTCTCCAGTTCGGTAATCGCTTTCTGCACCAGCTCCATATATGGGACAAATAGGATACACATTGGCCATCATAAAACTCACAAATCCAAAATTTGACGTTCTGTATGAGTTTGTACGCGCCAGTCTTACCCTTCAGATACCGGACATTAAGATTCGGGTAGTAGTATCGCAAATCACTTTGCGTCTGCTGGTCCAATTGACGGTAGATGTGCAGCACTTCAGTGTCGCTGAATCTCACACGGTAAGTGCCTTGTGGGGCGACAGGATCCAAAGCGTTATGGATAGTAAGACAGTCTGCGAAGCGTGCAGGGGCGAAATGACGCCAACCAGAACACCATTGCTTTTGCGTAAACATTCATCGTTTTTTTGGATGTCATGACCCCTGATTACTGAACATGTCAGGTGTAGGCTTCTAGAATGTCGAGGCCCGAACTGCAAGGATAAAATATAAATACGGAGTTCAGTTAGTTTTTGCAAAAAAACCGACAATAACCTCAGAGATTCAATTAAAGTCCCCTCACGATTACAACATATATCTAACAATCTTAGAGCATGGTCTGCCTAGACTACATAGTCCCTCATCCATAATGGTGGTTTATTTCAATAAATGAAGGATCTAAGTACCTAATCAAACATAGATACGTAATTTAGCCAACAAATTACAAACAGATCCATTATCTGTACCACAAGAANCTTCCCTGTAGATTCAACATCTAACCGTGTTGTAGGAAACCACCATTATGGATGAGGGACTATGTAGCCTAGGCAGATCATGCTCTAAGATTGTTAGATATATGTTGTAATCGTGAGTGGACTTTAATTGAATCTCTGAGGTTATTGTCGGTTTTTTTACAAAAACTAACTGAACTCCGTGTTTATATTTTATCCTTGCAGTTCGGGCCTCGACCTTCTCGACGCCTACACCTGACATGTTCAGTAATCAGGGGTCATGACATCCAAAAAACGATGAGTGTTTACGCAAAAGCAATGGTGTTCGTGGTTGACGTCATTTCGCCCCAGCACGCTTCGCAGACTGTCTTACTATCCATAACGCTTTGGATCCTGTCGCCGCACAAGGCACTTACCGTGTGAGATTCAGCGACACTGAAGTGCTGCACATCTACCGTCAATTGGACCAGCAGACGCAAAGTGATTTGCGATACTACTACCCGAATCTTAATGTCCGGTATCTGAAGGGTAAGACTGGCGCGTACAAACTCATACAGGACATCAAATTTTGGATTTGTGAGTTTTACAGTCATGGATGGCCAATGGGTTTCCTATTTGTCCCATATATGGAGCTGGTGCAGTGCAGAAAGCGATTACCGAATTGGAGAGACTGCCATTTCCGGGTTTTGTGAATAGTGGGATCACTTATGACCGCCAGGCTTTTGTAACCGCGTATGCTAATGTTCGGGATGCAGTGTGTGAGGTAAACCTTTACCGTATAGAGAGGGGCCAAGACCAGGGGCAGGTAATGTTTAGGGGAAGTTCTGTCTTTTTCGTGTTTCAGTCCAGTCTCTAATCTATTTTTCGTGTTTCAGTCCAGCCTTTGCCTAGAAATGCTAGATAAACACTCAAGTAAAAAAATGTGAGTTAAAAAACGTGGGCATGTTGTTATAGTCGAAATTTTGTGGGGCGAGAGTGTGATTATCTGGAACTCTTTTCAATGAATGATTATTCATGAACTATGCTCTGTATGATTGATCTTATATGTGCGTAGACTTGCTCTGTATTAGTTGATTGATCTTATATGTGCGTAGACTTATAGTAGCCTATGATATAGTTGCTTGCTCAGATCAAGTTGCTTGACTACATTTCAGTTTTAGGATTAGGGATCCATTACATTTCAGTTTTAGGATTAGGGATCCATCCAACTAAGTTGGTCAGTTTGGAATTGGATGCTTAATCATTGACCCATTAACCCCTTATTAAAAAATCTTTGTTCTGCAGGTAATTTTACGGGAGGTGGTATTTGTGATCAATAATGCCGGGTTGCCCCTCCGCTCTATTGGTTTAATCCTTACCGGAACATCTCATGGCCATGAATTTAAAGTCCGTAGGTAGAGAATTGTATAGTTAGCCAGTTTATTTATATACTAGTATTCGACAATGTAAATAAAATTAAATATTATAAGTTATATTTATGTATATAATATAAAACTTATAAGTTATATAATTGTATTATATTTCAAACATATAGTATTATAAGTTATATTTATGTATATAATATTAAATTATAAATTATATAATAGTATTATATTTTAAAATTTGATCAAAATAAATAGTACACACGATTTGATTGTATACGAATCACTATATTGATTGCATAAATGTAATAAATATATACTTTTTATAATTTTGAGTGATCATGACCAATTAATTAGCTGAAAAATATTACATTTATTATAACAATTGCTTATGTGATTTTAAGAAATTTTAGTATGACATAAAAAAAAAATTAATTTATTAATAAACATCTTCATCATATAAAAAAATATTGATTTTAGTGTAAAATATAATTTTATGTAACTTATATATTATTTAGTATAAAATATAATTACTATTAACTGTTATATTATTCAATAAAAAATATAATTATTAATCAATTAACATAAAATATAATGGTTTTTGTCTTAATTAACCCAAAAAAAATGTAATGAAATATTTTCTCATTAATGAGTGTATTAATGCCACAAATAAAATTTATTAGGTTTTATTAATGATTTGCCACATAGGTAAAATTTATAAGGTGTTATTTATTAGGTAAATTTATTGCTTAGCTAGCAATTATATCTATCTTATCTATATATGAAGGAGTGAGGCCATTTGTGGCGTTGACAAGTGTCCATTTTCGGCGCTTTCGCTGGTCGACACGTGTCCACAATTCTCACACCTTATTACTTTTATGCCATTGGGTTCACCTTTTTTTTTTTTCGTTCCTTGTGGACGTTTTTTCTTGGGCCATTTTTTATGCCTTATTTACCCTTGTTTTTGTTTTTTTTTGTGTTCCAATAGGGGTGGGCAAAAAAACCGAATTTCCCTATCCATTTGGGACGGTGTCTCATCCCGGACCGTTCCCGGACCGGTTCAAAAAAAGGGGACAGGTACCGGGATAGGTCAAATCCCGCACCGTCTCGGACCGTGCCCACCCGTATGTTCCAATAAATTTCTTTGTGTTTTTTTCGTAACTTACTCTCTGACTTTTGCAGAGACGCCTTTTTGCTTTCTACTTTGGCCTGGTTTTTCGGCTGTCACGTTTCTGTATTTCTTTCTACTTAACAAGCATTCGCCAAACACGCAAGCATCACATCCCACCACGATTTCAGACACAAAACAAACGCTGCCCTTCATTTTCTCTACTCAAACTCTCTCTTCCACCACGCCCTTCGTAAGTGTAGGCGCAAACTGCCTCTTCGAAGCCCTAAGCCGCAGACTCAACCGACACCTCCTTCTTCGGACCTCCGCTCGCCGGAGGAAAATCCGACCTCCTCTCCATCGAAAACCTCGCGGGCGGACTGGATATGAAGGATCTATCCACGGCGGCGGCGCGGCTCTTCGCCGAATTGAAGAATTACTGGCACAGGACGCTGGGGGCGGCAGATGCGTGATTTTCGGCGACCCCGCATTTGACGCGATGTTGTCCAGTACTACCTTGAACTCCGTCTCCTCTTCCTCTTTTCTCTGCGCCTATTTCTACTTTTAGATATACTCAAGTGCGTATATTTCTCTTTCTTTCACCCTTTTTAATAAATTTTTCCCTTTATTTTTTCGTTACAAATTTCAGATTTGTTGTTGTCTACATATGCATACAAAAGTTTCTGTGTGAATCTAAAGAAATTGGAAACTTGCTATTATTTTTCTATTCTTTAGATAAAAGAAAGAAAAAAAAATCATAATAGATGGGTTGATTGATATTGGATTTATGTTTGGTGTCATCTTACCTTACTTTTTCATAGTTAGCATCCCCACCCCATGTATTTTTTATCATTTTATTGTGCTTATGCGAAGTGCAGTTATCTTGCAGTGATGGATGCAATAAAGATGTCCCAGTTGCAATGATTAGCTTTCACAACTGCAGCCTTGATGCCAAAATTAAGATGAATCTGGGAACTCATTCCATTCTGTTTAGATTAATTACAATTATTCTGTTCTGGCATGTAGTTATGAGCACAAAGGTGACGTTTTTCTAATTTTTGGGTAGTATTTGAGTCAGATCCACCCTTCTTTCTCGCTGACTTATCCGGTGGCGGAGATTGGCGGACTGCTTCTGTGAGCGGAAGCAACCAGCAACTTACTTCACCAAGCGGTCGGCAGCTAGGACCGACGGAGGTGGTATCTCAGTTATGTGACCGTCTGAGCAGCGAGTGGTGCTGATTAAGACTGCTGGCTCACAAAGGAGATCGCCGGCTACTGCCAGAAAAAAGCCAGAAACAAGCAATCAGAAAGACCCTTTTGATGCCAAGGTTCTACACGAGGAATCTCGACGAGATCGGGCAGCTTTTCAACACGGACTCAGGTACTATTAACATTTTGTCATTTAAAAGCCCTAATATTTTTTTTACTTTTTAGAACAAAATCAATTCAATTCCAGCTAATATATCCTTTGTTCTTTCATCTGGAGTGCACAGAAATATGCATTTTCTTTTTGCTATTTCGTTATATTAACTTGATGCATATGCTTTTCAAGACTGAGCTCCGATTATGATTTGTAGGTATCTTCTATGAATTCCTTATCCTGTTACAGGCTTTCAGAGTTCTATTGTTGCAAAAATTATGTTTTTTAATTATTATTTTGGTATGCTAATCCAAATAAGTGACTGGCTTTGATAATGGACATTATTAAAGGTTCTGGATGCAGACGAAGAGCGCAAATTCTCCAGTCGTAGTCGGGCCGAAATGATGAAAAGCTAACGATGTGAGCGATATGATCGGAGTAAGTTTGCTATTTATTATTACTCACAAGCTGGCATCAACTAGCTTTGCTATGGTACTTCTTCAAGAAATAATATAACCTGTAAGATTTGCTGCGTATGTGCACTGATGGGCATTAAACATTTTGGGTTTAATGCTTCATCAGCTTAAATACAAATTCAAGTTATATCATGGATTTATAATCAACTGGGATAATCAACCCTATGGTGGAGTGTTAGCTTTAGATACTTTTGTTTTTTTCACTGCAAATATTTTGGATGGCAATGGGGGGTCGAGTGAATCTGACATTCTTTAATACTTGTTTGGGATGTTTTAGTTTGATTGATTATGCGAACTTTAATTTATAAAATTTGGTTGATTTTGTGCTATGATTATGCTATTATATTTAGCATACTATAAGAATATGAGGAGTTGTTAGCAGTCCTTGCTTCTTTATCTTTTGTAACATCTCGTTTTCCAAGGCACCCACTTGGTCCAGAATACAATCTGCACAACAAAGGATAGGTCAACCAATGATCATATATTTCCTTTCTGAATTTGATAGTGTACGAGGTTAGTAAAAGTTGGCCATAAACTTTAAGATAATTTTTTTTCCTTTATGTTTATTTATACTGAAAAGTTAAGAGGGAGCCTGAAAAGTTTTCAATTATCATCAATTATTTGGAAATGATCACCTGACCGCCAGTATCGGGCAAACCAAGTACATTCACCTTGCCAAAATATATGTGCACTGATAAATAACAAAATTAAACACCATAGGCAGTACACCATGGAACGTCTCTAGAGCAGACGGGTCGGGAGCATGAAGAATGTCTGAGAACAACGGGGTGTCGAGCACAAAATGGTCCTCATGCTTACAACACAAAGCAGGTAAAGAAAAGACAAAAATGTGAGAATCAAGCAAATACTCCCTCATAGTTAAAAACTATTAGTAGAATCTCTCACTGGCCGTCGACACGTTCTCCTTTGAAACATAGATATTCAGGCACCGTCAACTCCTCAACGCTGAGTATGTATACATTGACACTAAGAAACTCCCAAAGACAAGGTCTCGGCCATATGGCCACCGCAACAAAAGGCGGTAAAATTATTGCTTCCTGCCAAATTAACATCATAATTGAAATGAGAAAATGATCAAACTAATTAAACACATTTTTTTTCAATCAGCAGTATGTAGCTAGTTCGCAACAAATATGACAAAAACAAGCTATTAGGATAAAATTTAGCATATTAAAACACCAACTCAATACCCATAAAATGAAATAAACTTAAGAAAAGGACTCCATCTATATGAAATCCACAATTTAATTATTAACTCACATAGAAAAAGCTAAAGAAATGAAAAAAAACTAAAATAAACAAATTCAGTCTAACCTAGCAGTAGCCCTATTATACCTTTTTAGTAACAAAAATACATAGCATGCTATGAAAAATTTCATACTTGTTGAAGTATGCACGTATGCTGAAACTGGCTAACTGATATATTTGCCTCCTACTGTTAATTAACACAAATTTGTGAATGATACGGCCTAACTCTTGGCGGCATAATTATATTTAACAAAAATATGTGTCATACTTTTGGATATATCTTTTTTATACTGTGATATTTTAATTTGAAGGTATGCATAATTGCATATCAATTGAAAATGTATTACTGTCTAAGATCTATCTAACAAAAAGAATTAATTACCTGAACAAACTTTAAGACTTCACCAAAAGGGCCATCACTGAGCTTTGTCCGTGAGGAGTCATCAAAGTTGATGTTGTCTAACTCATCAATGAAGTGATGGGGCTGCAATATACCTTTTCCCTATTCCACATACCTGTGACCCAAAATAAATAGCCCTTGCCCAAATTAAATATTGTTGAGATGATGAAAATATTTTGGAAGTTATTGGGTTAACTCATTACCGAACGAGGAAGTGGATCATTGGTTGATTCTTCCAACTCAGGAACACGAATTCTCGTTGGATCAGCCCTTTCCCAAGGTCCAGTTGCAGACAAAATTCTTATACCCCTCCTTACGCTGGAAGAAGGCATCGTGCCTTGCACGAAGAACAACTTTAGAAAGTTCATATTACCAAGAAACAAGGATACAACTATTGACGAGAAAGTGAATCAATAAAATCCGATCAACATACAAGACAATTATATTGGTCCAATTTCAGAAACAGATATCCAAAATTTGACTCACCAATTCCAAAAATGCACATCCGCAGACATACAATATCATTTGGAATCATTCATCACATGCCATCAACCCCAAATCTAAGCTAATCGAGCAGAAAATTAAATCCCTAAAATTTCAATCACATACCACAAAAATACATATAAAGTATAAACATGCCAAAAAATCAACAGTAACATAGACATACGAAAAATCGTTCGAACCTTGAAGTCAATTGTAATTATCCCAGAACTTGGACTCAATCTGGTTGCCACATTGGCCTCCCAGGATATAAGAACCCTGATTCTTATCGGCTCGGCTCTTGACCTACATATACGCCTGCGACAAGGCTTGCCCTTGCGCACCGCCATTGGGGAAGATTGCCAGGTCGCGGCGCGATTGGCAACGAGGAGCGCCTACCGCCCAGTGGAGGATCTGTGAAGGTGACGACAAAGAGGAGTTCTGCGGTGCCCCAAAAATGAACGTCGCCGATATCAGTCGTCTTCGTCGCTTGTCGCCGGCAGGGTACGATGTACAACATGTTCCGGCTGAAAGAGAAGTCCATCTACTTAAGGAAGATACACAAATACTCAAGATACTGGATTTCCAGCAATATGTAATCTGCTTACCTGAACCTATGGGCAAGAACATCAATTATTTCGCATGCAGGTACTTGATAATTGCGCGCTTGCAGTATGGCCTCCATTTCCCCAGCCTTCAAAATACTATATAAAAAATTAGGCTATGAGAACGAAACAACGAATTGTTCCTCCAACAAAACTTGACCCTACAGATGTCTAAAAGCAATGTTCCATTTATACATGCAATCCGTAAATTTTTACTACTCTCAAAGGTTGTCGGTCACATAATTTATTCTTCTTTGCACCCTATCAAAATCCCATCAGCATGAAATAAGGTAATTCGCCTACATGTACTTCCACATATGGCAAGGCAGACCATCAACAATAAAAACATCTGGTTGCATAAGGAAAAACTCAATGTTTTTGCATGAAAAACTCGGTCAACAAATTTCACGTAACTTGCTTAAATTAATCGAAAACAAAGAACATTTAAAAAGGCCCTTTTGGTAACAGTATGACAATCCCTAGACATCAACTTGACATCCACTCAGTCCAGCACTCAAACGACAAGTACAAGTTTCAAAATCAACAACAGTATCTTACTCACATATCCTAGCAATCCAAAAAAAAAGGGTTTAAGGAAACATTTAGGCTTAAAGTCAGTAAACCTAAAATCTGATATTGATGATCCTTCTGATATTGATGATAACAAAAGAAGAAAAAAATGAAAAATACCACCAAAATCAATCCATACAAGATTACAAACCTAGCAAATAAAAATTAATAGCAAAACCGATTCATGTAAGTCTGCTAGGTTAATTATCACAAAAGGTCGCGTAGAATTATGAGCTTAAAGATTAACCTCAACAGGGTTAATTCAGAAAGAGGGGCCGCCATTTGTCTTCGGTCGGTCGGCCCAACGGAATCCTCCGTCAATTATTTATATCTATCTGAATTTTGTAATAATTTTTCAAAAACTCTACTAAAAGTGAGAGAAGAAGTTCACATTTCAATTTTCACCCCCAGTCGCAGCAAGACAAATCAAAAGTCACCACAAAAAACCTCAAAAACTCCAAAATAAAACAATTGGGAAAAATCGAGATAGCAGAGTGAAGAGAACTACCTCTTCATACTTCTGGGTGTAGGCAAGTCGCTCGTCCTCAGACATATGAGGCCTCATCCTTGGGCTCCTACTCAACGGGCTTCTCTATAAACCTGAGGGCGTTCTTCTACAAACAGAGGGGGTTGAACATGCCGGTGACCATGAGACCTGCGTATTTATGCCGCTGATTTCAGGCTCCAGTCGCTGTCTCCTTCCTTTGAAACTTCAGTTGCGCAGCCGATAGTTGAGCCTGAGAGAGGGCCGAAATCGGGGCGATGAAATTAGGATTTCGTAAGAAATTAAGAGAAAAAATTGGAGTGAGGGTATGAAAAGAGAGAAATTTAAGGACAAACAATACATTGCAGGAAATAAAAAAATAATAATAAGGAAAAAAAATTAAAAACCACCGAACTGCTCTCACAGTAAAAGTCAAAAGATTTTTGCTTCCCATCCTCAGAATTCACGGCTGAAAATCAGCACATAGACTGATAGATCACCCATACCCTAAGGAATCACTACAAAAGAGCCATACCCAAAATAAAACAACAAATAGCAATCCCACAAATAGCACCAGAAGAAAGCCCCATTCGCACAATTGATGATTTTTCTTCCTTTCAAGAAGAAATACATAAAGAATTTAAAAATAAACATCAAGTTACAACAACAAATGGGCATATTCAACAATCAGTTCGAAATAAAATTAAAACGAAAATAAACGACAAAGAGAATCCCAACCTAAAAAACAGTGGAGAGTAAAACCAAAAGCAATGGCACACACTGAACAGAGGTGATCGAATAGAACACGGACGCCGTCTGAAGCAACTCAAGACGATAATCCATGATTCGGGACCAAAAATCAGCCTCTGAACAAATCAGTTGAAGGATTTTTTTTTTTTTTTTCNTTTTCTCAAAACAAGTAACCGCTGTCGTCGAAAATACAAAAAGTGCCCTCAAATGCACACGTGCACGTCAGTCTGCCTCTTGAATTGGCAAAAGAAGCAATAAACAGTTAAAAATAAAAGCCCAAACGGCATCATTTTGACTCAAATAAAGAGCAAAGAGCTATGCCACTTGTCGGCAAATAAACGTCATAAGTGGTTTTCTTATAAGACTAGAAGGCTATCACCGTGCACAGTACATCAGGCCCACGTTAATTATTCTCGAGATAATCTTGATGTTCACATGTCACAACACGTCCTTTCGATTAAGGGCGACGTGGCTACATGAAAATGCAGCGCCACTCGAGCCATTGTTGTTGTCTTCTTGATCACGAATTGTGTTGCAAGCTTTGTCTTAACAAAATGGGATGCTTATGCCGAGATTTGTGAAGATGTGGCTAATGATAAACTGAGATAAATGAATCTATCAAACACCCTGATTAAATTTTCAAAGCATAGAAAATCTCATGCATGAATAACTTAAATGTGTAATTCTAAAGAAAGTTGAAAAAACATTCCATCAAGTAAAATGAATAATCACAAAAACTACTTCTGAAGTTTTTGGTACATATAATAGAAATTACAAATATGCTTTATGGGGCCAAACCTTTATAGCTCTTGAAGCTCCAATCTCCATTTCCACCTTTGCACGCAGAAAACTACGCTTCAAAATCACATAGTATTGTTTGACATTCACATAAATAAGCTCTTCTTTAATTACGTAAGACGGCACTGAATTGAAACAAACCTCTCCATGCATCCCTGGATACACATGACAAGAACAATTCATGATCATTTGTTTTGTCATATCACATAGAAAAGTAGGAATCAAAAGTTCTAAATACCTTGCAACTGTAAGAAAATATTTAAGGTTTGTTCGTTTCAAGAAACAATCACGACACTAAGTGTTAGTATTTAATGTTCTCACATGTGACCAACCAACTTGATTTGTTTGATGTTCTTGCATTAGCTATCTACCCATCAACTTTATCTTTTGAGCTTTCTACAGTAATTGAAGCGTCGAGTCCGTCTTCTTCAGGAAACTTTAATTGACATCAATAATAATAAAAAAAGAAATTAAAAACAATAAGTACTACTGAAGCCTAAATATTTAAAACCTAGACAGGAAATAAGAAAAATTACCCTAGAAACTTAACAAATTTCCTTAGCACACACAAAAGACAGCTGTACCTAGAGGTTGATTCCGGTGGAAATTGACAGACTTAGATAGCTCTGTGTCATTTTCAGGTTTGGGCTCCTAGAAACAATTGATGCAATAAAATACACCAATTTTGGATAATTTCTCTAGTTAATAGTGCAAAAAAGATAACCCAACTCATGTCATAATCTGCATCCAAAAGAACTTTCTACTATCTGTATGAAACTTCAAAATGTATACCCTTCCAGAAGATTGATTAACCTTCACAAAAGCGAGGAAACAAAATCAGAAGCAAATTTTTCGGTTCAAAGTAAATTTTTAGAAAGTGAACCTTTTCAAATACAGCTCCTTCATGAAAGACAATTTGATTGAGGAATTACTAATTGGTGATAAATAATATTAGACAACAAATAACGATAATGACAAATCTGAGAGCAACAAAAGCAGAGATCCATCCTAATGAAAAACAGACAGGGGTACATCTTCAATAACATTTGAAGATCTGCCATTGAAAATGAAGTAGCCATTCTTCACCTGAGAAAGATAGTGAGAATAAACTAAATTCTACATATACAGTATTAGCACCACTATCTCCTGTTATAGAATTTATCAGGCTTCACGATTTGGTAGAGAATGAGAAAGATGGAGGAATAAAACATGAAAAGAAAAGGAGAATTATGTACTTACCCTTCCCATACGAACAAGCCCTTTAAAGGGGATAGCACGCATTCCATCCATATAAGCATTTTTCTGGCCAATAAAATAGAAGGAAGTTCTCATATATTCAAGGCGCAGAATCACTTAATCAGTGTACCAAAATATCCACCCCCAACCCAAACCTTAAACACACACAGATTTATCAAACTATGAACTATAACACGTTCAAGTCATACAAGAAAGCGGATACTCCCAAAGTTTAAACAAATAGATCCAAAATTGCACCAAAAGACTATCGAGAAAGAAATTATACTCAGAAACGCACCTAAAAGCATTGGTAAAATACACAAATTATACGGCAATAAATGATCCTAAACAGGAATGCTAAAACACAACTTTTAGTTTTCAAAATAAAACATAATTAGTCAAATATTATTTATGTGATGACCGATTTGTCGTCAAAGCTTATTATTTGGTTCACAAACTATTTGTTTTGCTTGTATATAGTTTGACAATAAATGGTCGCCAAGTAGCTCAATTTTCAGCATGTACGAGCTCCTAACCTATTTTGTAATGGATAAAGATATTTGCCCAAGTGTGTTAAAATTTTATAATAACATCTCATCATTGACAGACAATGACTTATAACAATTTCCTTAGGCCGACACGTTTTCCATTTCAAAATGGATAACATACTTGCAAATAAATAAATCATGATTATGATACACCAATTCACATGAGATGAGAGGAAGCGGAGAAAGACAAAAAATGAATAGGAATATAGGTATGCAAAGAGAAAGTGGTTCCTCATATCCAAAGTAATTCGCGTTTGTAATTGGTGGGATATTTTTCTAGAAAATAAAAAAATATCTAGCAACAAATATAAAATATTAAACATTAAAAATAAAACATCCCAAAAGTACACATAGGAAAGTAAAGTGTCTAAAACTAAGGGATCAACTCCTTCTAATAAAAATAAGTTGAAAAAGTACATACTCAACCCAATAAAAAAAATTAGCCCAAATAACACAACCCAAAATTAGAGGATCAACTCCGAATTATAGAACTCATTTTTATTAGTTGAGTAGTTATGTGTTTTGGCCATCAACTTCTTAAAAATGAGTTGGAAAAGCAGCCCACTAAATAAAAATGTTTGGCCCAAACAACACATTTTTTATTTTCTTATCAAGCAAAATGTATAGGAAGTAGTGGCTTAACCACGTGGCAAGGCAGGAAGTGAGCAACTCCCCGTTATTAAGATGGAGAGAGAGGTAGATGAATGCAAATTTTACCCATGTTTCCAACAATCAACCTTTAGAATTCGGGCTTAATTTATGATAGATATATTGATGGATAGTGAGTATGTATTTTGTTGAAATGCCATTTGTGATTTGTTCCACGTTTATCAATATGAAAAATATACGTAGTTTATGTTAAAACTCGGGTATAAAAATACACGGGAATCCTACGAACTGATATGTATTTTTCAGTTCTTACAAATAATCTAAAAAATAGAAAATTACAATCGAACTGAAAAATAAATTACACTGAAAAATAAATTAAAACTTAAAAAATAAAACAAAATGGAAAGATTTTAATCGAGGCGAGTAAAACTCTTTCCGCAAGAAGAATACGCCCCGTGTGGCAGCTAATGGTTTAGGCGTAACTTCCCTAAAGATACAACGGCAAACGTCTCTAAATCTGTAGCACACCAGATTTAAGAGCTCCGGCGAACTGGAACGGGGTCAATAATTGAGCACTTAAAATAGGAAAAAATATCACTCTTTTGTTATTTTGATAACAAATAAATATTTCTATATTTTTCTCTCTGATATTTTTGTCCCTCCAATATTATTTAGGAATAATTTTTCCATTCTTTTTCTTCTCCTTTCTTCCCTTTCTTTTCTTTCTTTCTCTGCCGTGTTTCTTCTCTCCTTTTCTGTGTCTTTCATCAAATGGTCTGCTTCCAATTTATAGAGATGAAAAAGAACAACTAATAGGTTGTTGGCTTAATTAAATCCGAGTAGATAGAGAGGTTAGCATATTTGTTGAGAGATTAATTAATTTGGTTGTTAGGAGTAGGAGATAGTTGACCGAATCTTTAATTAACACTCACATATAATTAACAGTTTAAAAGTGTGATATAACACGTATAAATCGATACAGAGAAGATTAGCATAGTCCATGCTCAAGGATAACACGCTTAAATCGAGAAATCATTTAATTAATTCAATATGAGGACGATTAGATGTATCAAGAACCTATGATATAAATTGGGTTAGCCGAACGACCAAGGTCACATAGATAAAGTGGCCTGCCGAAAATCGGGCTCCGGCCAAATGATATTGGGGCTGTGATAAATATTTAAGCAATCGATAAACATATTATTTGGGCTTCAAACATAAACAATCTTCACCTTGGCCCAAAGTCGGTTCAAGAGACTCGGGCTGACAAGGGTTTTATCACCTTACCTTACTATACCTGCACGCAAACACAAAGTTAGGGCAAATACATAGCCGACACAAAGTCGGCTACCTCACACGAAGTTCACATAGCACATATCAATAGCAAGTATCAAAGTTCAAAGTGTTAAAAAATAATCTGAACTTTTAGACAGTAACCACTTATTAGTTCCCATATCAACGAGATTAAATTCAGAAGCAATTTTTAAAAAATTATCCAAGTAGACACTATATCACGTATAAAATGAAACCGAACATCCATTATTTATATATTATTATTATTATTATTATTATTATTATTATTAATTTGTCACTGAAAATTGAGACTATTTCATTCAAACAGATCAACGCCCGTCCCCCCGGTAGGCCATTATTAAAACCTCCCATTTCATCACATTCTTCCTCCGATAGTCCAATCGGAACTGAAATTTACCACAGTTCTCTCTCAGCGTTCGAATTCTCCAACTAAACCCTAGTAGGCTAACTTCTCAGTCCCCAGCTTCTCTCAGCGCGTCAATTGAGTTGCCCATCAGACACTGCAAGAATCCAAGAAAAAATGGGGGACGTAGCGGAAAAGTTGACGTCCTTTCAAGCCGTCACGGGCATCAACGACGCAGATTTGTGCACGGAAATTCTCTCCGCCCACAGTTGGGACCTCGAATCGGCCATCTCATCTATCACATCCACCGTCGCCACCGGCCCCTCCGCCTCCTCTTCCTCCGCCGCCGCTGCCGCCGGCCGGACAAATCAAGAACCCGAAGACGTTGGCCTTGTCCTAGTCCCTACAGGAAACAACAATCAATCTCCGGGTCTCGTTTGGAAAATAATCACACTCCCATTCTCGATCATCTCCACTAGCCTAGGTTTAGTTTCTGGCGCGATCGGGTTCGGCGTGTGGGCTGCGAGCGGCGTCCTGTCTTATTCGTTTGGCATGATGGGGCTGAACGGCTCCTCGCGGGGTGGGTCGATGCCTCTGGTATCGGTGTCCCAGTCGGCCTCGGAGGCCATGGATTTCGTTTTGGGTTTCGAGAGGGACTATGGAAGGGTTAGGCCGAATTTCGTGGGCGAGGGTTTCATGGATGCCTTGCAGAGGTCCCGACGTGAGTACAAGCTGCTGTATGTTTACTTGCACTCACCCGAACATGCTGATACTCCTCTCTTCTGCGAGGGGACTCTGTGCAATGAGATGCTGGCAGCGTTCTTGAACGAGCATTTTGTGGTGTGGGGAGGTAGTGTGAAGGCCAGTGAAGGGTTCAAGATGAGTAATACTCTGAAGGCTTCCAGGTTCCCGTTCTGTGCAGTTGTTATGGCGGCAACCAACCAGAGGATCGCATTGCTGCAGCAGGTGAAATGCTGAAGTACATTTATGGCTCGATTTTAACTCATTGTTTGGTGTACTGCTATACGTGAAACTTTAGTGGTTCAAGATTTTTAGATATCAAGATTTCCATATTGTGTGTGCCTTGTGATTATGTCACTCGTGCATAGTTTAGACCTTGAGGTCTTCCACAAGATGGGTTGGAAAAGGTTCAGATATATTTTGATGGGTGTGAGATGTAAGATTGTTATAGTGGTGGCTTCTGCTTCCTCGTATTATTTCCCATCATTCATTAATAGTAACACATCCCAATTTGGTATCCTATTCAAGATAGATAAGAGGTTGGATTGAGGGGATTTTTTTCTTCCAGTGAGGGACTCTTTTCAGTTTCAATCCTCTATTATGGGCACTGCTAATTTTTTTCTTTACTGATCCTAGTTCAGTGGGCAAACTGACACATTTGTTTGGCAAGACTTCCTTCAGGTGGTCATTCTGTTGTTAAGGTTAAGGGTTCTAATTAAGAATTTGCTTAACTGTAAGCTTATTATCCTGATAGTGAGGTCCAGAGCAAATGTTAATGTTTTGTGACAATAAAGTACACGTAAAATGTAGTACTGTAGTTTGGTATGTTGTTGTCTGGCACGTTCTTTTCTTTGTTCACATTTGCACTTCTTCATACAACTATATTGTTGTGCTGTACTTGGATGATTGTCGTTCAGGGAGGAACTATTCTTGATCATTTTATACTTTCTGCCTTCTGTTTTTTAAGTATGGGAAAGCTGTGAATTATTTTGTGTTATTTTAATCAAACTGTGTTGATATTCATGCATAAATCTTATTTTTGTTGTTTCTCTTTTTTATGTCATAACAAAAGTTGGGCTATATTCCAGTGCTATTGTAATCATACTGTGTTGATTTTCTTGCAGGTTGAGGGACCAAAATCTGCTGAAGAATTGTTGTCAATATTGCAGAGAGTGATTGAGGAAAGTGCTCCTGTTCTTGTTTCAGCAAGGGTCGAAGCCGAAGAGAGAAGGAACAATATGCGCCTGAGGGAGGAGCAGGATGCTGCCTATCAAGCAGCTCTCGAGGCTGATCGAGTATGCAATTTTGATAATATTTTCAGTTTTAAATTTATATGCACTTAATTAATTTAGTTTTCTTAATTTGTCTTAATGTTCTCGTCTTGTGGTAAACAGGCTAGGGAGCGGCAGAGAAAGGAGGAAGAAGAAAGATTGGAACGTGAAGCTGCTGAAGCCGAAAGGAAAAGGAAGGAAGAGGAAGAGATTCGTGAACGTGTTGCAAGAGAGGCTGCTGAGAGAGAAGCTGCATTGACTAAGATGCGTGAGGAGAAAGCGCAATCACTTGGTGCTGAGCCTGAGAAAGGGCCTGACGTTACTCAAGTAAGTTCCAGATTAATTAATTTTTGTTGGGTATCAGTGATATCAAATTCTGAAGTTACTTTTCCACTACCTAATGTGTTAACTCGTTATTTTGGTAAGGATGTTTTTAATTACGACAGCAGATGCGATATTGGTTGCCTGCATTCTGTTTGTGTTTTTGGCTAGGGTGTAAATGAGAAGATTGTGGAAGACGCCTCTCTCTCTTCTTGAGTTTTTTGCTTTTATACTTATGAAAATTTGTCGCTAGGCTTTTCATAGAGTACTGCGGGTGTGTGTGTATTGATTTTCTTTGGAAACTATGCATGAATACAAGAGTTCTTTGTTTGATGTGTTAAAATAATGTGTTAATAGTAGTGTCTTGTTAAATGTTTTAGGAGGGCATCATCTTCATTCTTCACTGTTCATCCGTTTAATGTTTCGTTTTTGAGTTGAGTATGACATAGTCCATTGAAGTCTTTTTTTGAAGAAGTGATGCATAAAGTGGATATTGCTTGAAATAATCCTTCATGAAATAAATGAATCTGGTGAGATATGGGGTTCTTAACATTGTCATTTCTTCAAATATCTAATATGCATATTTGGTAGATTCAGAATTGTTAGTTTGAACAAGAATGCTTCGTCTTGCTAAAGGTTTTCAGAAGATCCGTAAAGACCCTTTTTCGATCCAGATTAGAATCTTTTTAAGTTTTAAGCCCTCTCCATATTCCATCCTCTTTCAGAATCCACACATTCGGACACCTAAAATTTGAAATAAAGAAAATGTTCTGTGCTATCTCAGATAGACTTGCTTTTTGCTACTATGTACATTTTTAATTCGATCTTATGGCTTTTTCAGGTAGTGATTCGTTTCCCTTCTGGATTGCGCAAGGAAAGAAGGTTTCACTTGACGGCAAAGATACAATCTCTGTACGACTATGTGGACTCATTAGGTTGCTTGGATGTTAATGGCTACAGCCTCATTTCCAACTTTCCCCGCACTTTGTATGGTGAAGACAAGCTCTCGTTATCCCTCAAGGAAGCGGGATTACATCCTCAGGCCAGCCTCTTTGTGGAGTTGAGCTAAGAGGATGAAACATTGTAATAGGGATATTCTTATATCTGACTTTTGGCTTTTTTTTTTACGAAAACAAATGTATTGATGGTATCTTTTAGCATATCTTAAGCTTTGCGGGTATTGTGTTGTGACATCTTTTCCAAGTCTTAACGGGCGAATATGATAGCGGGGTATATAGGTTTTATTTGCAGTGATTGTTCTTTAATGAATTGTTATGGGCATATATTTTTTTCGGGCTTTGTTTAACTTTATAGTTATACTCATTTACTATTTTGCTGTAAGTTTGGAAAAAGTTGTATATGATCAGTTAAGATGGTTGGTACTTGGATTAGGTGCTATTACCTAATGTTCGCATTGATATATTGGTCATTAAAACGTCGAAGACTAATCTTAAGACATCTAAATGATATATAACATATATTTTTTAATTAATATGTATACATTTATATTGAAAATATATTGTACTTTTCAAACAAATGTACAAGAATAATATTTCACATTGTAACTATACTATTTTATTCAAAAAGTATGACATGTCAACTTGGTAAAAGAATATTATTTCATATTATGGTTATGTAAATTTATTCAAAAAAATATAACAAGTCAACCTGATCGGGTATCTCAAAAGAGTAGTTTCCAAATATGGTAATTGATGATATATTTGGACCATCACAAGATGACTTTTACTTTTACAAGTGCTAGTATAAAACTCATGTTCCCAAAGGCAAATAGCTGTTCAAATCTACACCTAACCCTATTATAAGCCATTGGCCAGTGTAGATATAGTTGATGCTGTGTATGATATATAGAAATATCTCCACGACATATATATCATCTAAGTAATTTAGTTAGCAATAACTCAATTCTCAATTCTGCTAGTATATATATATATATACTCTGTATGGAGATTAACAAATATATCTTCTGAAACTGCAAAAGTTAGACCATATCTGAAGCATCATCTTCTCCTCGAGCCACATGTGATCCGGCTCTAAACTTGCAAACCGGGCACGTACCTTGCTGCCGAAGCCATGGATCTATGCAATTCACATGAAACTGAAAGGGAAAGTATGAGATGGTGCCCAGCTATAAGCAAAACAGGATTAGGTGGATAATCACAAATAGAGCAATCCAAAAAAAACACATGTGGGCACAATTACAGAGAAACAAGTGTTTTTAGTCAGAGCTGTAAAAGCCAACCTGATGCAAGCATGGCAGGCTACGAATGAGTTCTCCAGCATTAACTTGCTCCAAGCAAACGCTACAAGTCAGTTCATCATCAGATGTTTTCAATCCAGCTTGTGCATTTGAAAGATCTTGCTTCTTCTGCAATATAAAAATTAATTAACAATAATTGCACCTAAATAGGTAAAATTAAAAGATAAGTATAATATAAATCTTAGGCATAAAGGACGTGAAAATATAGCAAAAGGTGCTGCTATGATCACAAACACAAGTTTAGCTTTACGGTAACCCTAATATTTGGTAAGGAATTATTGGATTTATTTCAATTATATGGATTTACTATGGCCGATGAATTCGAAACGAAGGAGAGGCAAAACAAGAGTGACTGATAAACAAACAATCTACATCATCTCTCATTCAACAAGACTGTTATCTTAAGACTTAGTTCACCTACATGGGCACGCAGAACCCTCTAATATTTTTCCGATGCCAATACTTTCAGGAAAAAGAGATCATATGTGTGAGGACACGACACTCAGAAAGTTTGAAGGCCCCTTAGAGGATTCTGGGAATTAGTGTAAAACCTCACCAAACTCATCCAAGTAATTAAGTGAAGAGTCATAAAAGATGCTTTTGTATCATTGATATAACAATTGCAACTACAAAAAAACATACAATTTAAAGTGGTTATCATATCCCACCAGAGAAAATCAGAAAATATGTCATTCGCAGCAATATACCACTAGTGCCCATCTTAATACTAAAGAGAACTAGTAAACATAAAATAATAACCATACTTGAATTAGAAAACAGAAAATCGACATTACGGAATGAAACTGTCAAGATTTAACACTATATAAGAAAGACAACAGTACCTCAGCCGAGGTTGAAGAAGAAGCCTGCTGCACTGATGAGCTGCCGCTGCCCGAGAGACAACACAAAGATCAATTTTTTTAAGAATGACTTCAAAAATGTCCAGATTCGCTTGGCAAATCAAACTGCAGCTAAAACTAAAAGTGGCAAATCTGATACATTTTCACTCTCACAAAACATAAAGGTTAACTTAACTCGTTATCTCATAAACATGTTTCTCATTTTCAAAGTACTAGAACAATTCCGTGAAATAAATTACTTTAATTGGATGGACACTAAAAATACTTCTGTCAGAAAAGAAGTAAAACAGGTGAAAATGAATTAGCCTTGGTAAGAAACTGCAGTAATGTGCCAGAATTTTTCAATTAGCAGTAACCTTTGAGGGCCGGACAACTTATACTTGTGAACAGGAAGAGCATTGATCTCTTCGTCGGTCATGGAGGCAGTAGGAATATTGTCGGCATCCAGTGCACGTAAAGTTTCGTAATCTGACCGCATCAATAAAATAAACAATGTGACAAAACATCCCAATTAAATATTCACCCTTTCTGAGTTAGAATAGCACTTGATAAACACAGATCTAAAAGTTGCATCATGGGGAATTATTGGAATAAATTGAAGGAGAAAATTTTTTTGAACCTCCCAAAGTATGTCCTTTTTTTGACTTTGCCATATAAACTTTTTTTTTTTCTTTTGACAATTTGCCTCCCAATGTAATCGAAACTGACAGTGTGCCTCCTCGATTGAAAACCCTAATATGGCACAAAAGAGTTTTTAAATGATGAATTTTAAACTAATCTTTAAAATTGATTTAGGGCTTTTAAAGCCCATGGCGAGACGAACAAAATGAGGTATAATATGTCGAATTCTGAAAATTGATATCTCTATAATTGATCCACGAAGATAGAAGATAGTAGGAGCACGTGTGTATAGAAAAAATTTCAATTCAAGTTTTCTGACAATCAAAATATCCGATTTTCAATTGGGAGGTGTCATTTGAAAGCTAGTAGGACCAATTTTCTAACACGTAAATCTTATGAAAATCCAATGGTCGGATTTTGATCAGTATTTAGAAAACTATTGATCAATAGTTAGCTTTTTTTTAGGCTACTAACCAAAATCCGACCGTTGGATTTTCATAAGATTTACTTCGACAGAAAACTCGTCCTTCAAGCTTTCAAATGATACCTCTCAATCGAAAATCGGATATCTTGATTATCAGAAAACTTGAATTGAATATTTTTTCTATACACACGTGCTCCTACTATCTTCATGGATCGATTTTAGAGGTATCAATTTTCAGAAATCGACAAATCATACCTCATTTTGTTCGTCTCGCCATGGGCTTTAAAAGCCCTAAATCAATTTTAAAGGTTAATTTAAAATTTATCATTAATTGAGTTAAAAACTCTTTTTTACCATATTACGGTTTTCAATCGAGCAGGCAAACTGTCAGTTTCGATTACATTGGGAGGCAAATTGTCAAAAAAAAAAAAGTTTATATGGAAAAGTAATAAAAAGGGCATACTTTGGGAGGTTAAAAAAAATTTCCCTAAATTGAAGTGTACACACCTAGGTCATCAAATTCCCTGTCAAGAAGTGCAAGCTGAAGCCTTAGACCTTGTAACCTTCCTCTGGTTGCAAGTGCAATAGATGGAGGCATGTGAAGTCGCAGTTCGGTGTGGCCAAGAAGGCCACTGGCCGCAATAGCATGTGCTTGCGCCTGAGCTTGAAGTTGCTGGCAAGTTGCATACATCCTCAAAGTTGTTGCCATAAAAAACACACCAAGCACCAACCAGAGCTTCAAAGAGTTGGGGGAAAAGAAGAAAAAGAAAAGCTAATTAGATCATTGAAAATAAATGAACAGTGACATAAATAAATCAATTGAGCCAAGAAAGAAAAAAAAAAAGAAGAAGAAGAAGAAGAAGAAGAAGAAGAAGAAGAAAGACAAACCAGGAAATTAGGAGACATCTGATGTGAGTTTAAAATCATGAACAGCAAAAGTACTGTCACATAATAAGACCAATTACAAATTAAATATAGCAATTAATAGGCTGAACATAAGAACATTATGGCAACATATGAGTAACAATGTAACATGACCATAGAAAATAAAGAGACCTGTTACAAGAAAAGCAAGGGAGTTCGTATTGACTGGTCGAGCAGGATGTACACGCTGATGAGCAGCAAATACATAGAATTCATAAGTCAGAGAGTTAAGAATAATTACAAAACTCTCCCCAAGTTTTAGTCTAATTGAAAAGGAAAATAAAAAGAACAATCCAGAAATTTTTTAGAATTTACAGTTATCTTCTAGAGATGTAACACAGTCCCTTGAGGTTTATATTTATCTAGAATATATTCTTGTAGATGATGAAGTGATTCGTAATACGATGTCCAGAGTACTTTAAATTTTAGGATATATTTTCTTCTTTTTCCCTAAAAATCTCTCCCAATATTTGATTGAAGACCCTGGGGCAATTTTTGTATTTAAACATATAAAATAACAAAGGACTGAAAATTCACCACTGCACGCCGTTCTGGTACAAGTCCTGGAAATCCAGTTTCTATATCTCCTCTTGTGCCTCGGAAAACAAAACTCATATTTCCACAAACTACAACCAATGATACTAAGAAAGCTGTCTTGGACAATATGCACTCGTAACAACCTTATCCCGACCAAAAATCCCAGTAAACACCAATCCTGAGAAGAGCTCAAAATAGTCAGTTAAGAGTCGTTATGTTCATCCTAGTAAGTATTGAAAAGAAAAATAGAAGATATGCCTCCAGAACTATAAATCTACCTCTTCAAAAATGGCAGTCACATGGATTAGTCAAATTTTGTCAACATAGCTATAAGATCCCTTAATAAATATTAAGCAGCTAAGAAGCAAAGGGAACTCTGTCTCAGCCCAAACAAAAAGGCACTTACAATAACCATCCTAAATTGGGAATCTATTCTCTTGTCAGGATTACAAATTCTGTATTCCGTTTATCTTTTCTATCTAGTCTGTGTCGAGAAGCATAAGCTACATTACTCGACAACAAATAGATTATTCGACTCTTCACATCATATGTATCAAGAATAAATGTGGTGATACTTCGTGAAAAGAACCATTGATTTCGCCATTTGTGAAGATTTTCGTATCCACTGATATTTGCATCTGAAAACAGATATAGTTTGCAGGAAAAAAAATAATCCAAACTTGGGTGTTCTAACAAATGATCAACTCCGGCAATAAATGCAACAAAAAATCTCCATAACAGACGATGACGAAAGTGGAACAAGTCGCTAATCATAGCTAAGAATTTCAGCTTTATGTTATGATATCCTTAAACAAATAACGACAGGAACATCCCAACTGAAAATAGAAGAGAAGAATCCCATGCATCCAAAGATAGCTTACCCTAAAAATCAGACAAGAACACCACTACTCCCGTCATAGAAAATCAATGCGCTAGAAATAGATTCGATGTGTCCCAATTAAAAGCCGATATCTTCCAATACAGCGACAGTTCTGCAGAATGGATCCGAATACGAATATAATCAATTAGAGGAAAAACAAAAGATTTTGCAACGAAAAATTGGTCGATCTGCACTGAGTTAAATGCGTTTGAGAGAGAAGAAAATGATGATGAGTCGACTCGGACGCGTTAGGGCTTATTTTAATGCAGATAGATGAATCGATTTGTTTTAGTGCTATTTTAATAAAGCTCCAACCAGAAACGACATTGTATAGCTCATGTACCTTTATTTCGAGTTTTTCCTTAAAAGCTAAAAGCCGTAGGTTCTATGATGCTAAGCTCCGGGTTGATCCATCGAGTTTGGACCTAAACCATTTGGATATTGTCCAAGAAGATTTTTTTTTTTTTTTTTTCTAACGGTAATAATTAAGGGTGAGTATGGGTCGGTTCAGATATTGACAAATCTTCAGAACCGTACCGATATTCGAAGATTGCTAAATTCGATCTCCGGAATCGTACCAAAAATCGGTTCGGTTCGGAGATTTTTATGTTTCGATTTGGTTCGGTTCGATAATCGGGACTATCGGAACGATTCGGTCCAGTTTTGTTCGGTTCGGATATTTAGAGATTTTTAATTATTTTAAATTTTTTTCAAATGACTACCTAGTTATATTATAATTTTTATATATTTTTTTTTAAATCCAATATTCATCAATACTTAATATACTAAATATTTTATTTTTAAATTAACTTTAGAAGTAACTCTAAATTTTAGTTAAGACTAAATTTGTACAACTAACATTGAAAATATAAAATTTAAATAAAATATAATATAATTTTTTATTTAAATACTATTTCTTTAACCTTCCATATCATGTTAATTATAAGATAGAATAAACGAAGTATCAACAAATTTAAGTAAAGTTCAAATATTTTTTTTTTAAAACATGAAAATTCAATTGTAGATCAAATATTAGTAAACATGAAATTTAAGTGAAGCTTACTTGTTATTACTATATTTTGTTTGCATTGTTAAAATTCTCAAATTATACAGGATCAAAGTTGACATAAAATATATTAATAACACACATATATTATTATAATTCGGTTCTTAATTTCGGTTCTTCGGTTCGGTTTTCGGTACGGATATTTTTAAAATCTCCAGAACCGTACCAATTAATTTTTCGGTTCGGTTCGGTTCGGTTCGGAGGAAAAAGTCAAATGGTCAACGGTTATTTTTCGATTCGGAGTGATTTCGGTTCGGTTTTCCAAATATTCGGAATTCTCCGAGTCCCATGCTCAGCCCTAGTAATAATAACTTTNAGAAAACCAACCTGCACAAAAGATTGAAGATGTTAACATAAAGAGCATACAATAATTACAAGACTAAGCTCTAACCTCAACATCTAACAGAAAGTCAAGAGGAAAAGAAAAGAAACACTATACACAACTCAAAAGATACTACCCAACAGCAGGGCTTCCACTGGAAGTGAGCACCTCCCTAGAAGTCCTCCTTTGAACAGACAACTCTTCATCTCCACCAACATTGGCTTGAAGTTCCAAACACCCACCAATAGAGATAATGGCACTGACAATATTAGAATGATGTCCTACTTTCTCAGTAGTAGTGATGTGTTCACCAACCCCCTCACCAAAAAACTTTCCTGGACTTTCAAATTCAATCCATTCCTCCTTTGCCCCTTCTACTACTTATCTCTCGGCCTTGGCTTCACCTTTGAATATCCAAGCATTTCTCGTTTTCCATAGCCACCATAGTAGATAGGTTGATAGCTCAATCCTGCTTATCAAACATTTTGAATCATCCTAGCAGCTGATCTCCTGCCACCAATCCTTAAAAGAGTAACCTTTAACTTCTAATCCTTCCCACCTAATGCCAGCTATTTTCCACACTTTTTTAGCCCTACAGCATCTAAAGAAAATATGGTCTTGATCCTCCTCAGCCTCTCCACAAGACCCACAGATTGTATCACTCGAAAAATTACAACTGGACACTCAAATGGGTACAAAACTAACAACCTCCTCAAACAAGGAAGCTGAAACCAATGGGTAACCTTACAAAAAAGATACCCTACAGGACCTTCAAGGCCAACAAAAGAGCCCTAAATCTGACGATAGGGAACCCTACCCCAAGTGCATGTTTGGATTTGTGGGCATTATTTTCAAACTGTTTAGCTCATGCGAATGCACACGTTCCAAGTAGCAAACTGAAATATGGTAAGACTATTCAAAATTTACTTATTAGGAAATTTTATGTCATGTACCCGATATACGAAGACTCGGGCTTGGATGGAGATTCGGTATGGACGTGGACTTGAAGAAAGAAGGAAGTGCTGGCCCAACTGAGATGACTTGTGAGTAGTGGGCTTAACCATTTAAGTAGCCCATTAAGTGTGTTATTGTCATTATTTTATCATTTTTCTTTAATTAGGTTAAATAAGAAGGGATTACTATGGGACCCACATGTAAATGCCTTATAAGGCTAAGTTTGCGTTTGGGAAAAATCAATCAAGCCGTTACAACAAATTCCCCATCTATCTCTCAACTCTCGTATGTCTCTCTGTATGCTCTCTCTCTTACAGAAAAATACACAAATAAAATCACAAAAAATAGCAAGATCATAACATTTTATTACTATCAACAAATTAATCAGGTTAGCTTTTAGCTCATTTGAGCTCCATATGGTTGAGAGAATGAGAAATAGTATGGTTTTTCTATTAAAAAAAAAAAAAATCATGCTTACTTGTTATGGAATAATTTGAAAATTAAAATTCAAGCCAAATAAATATTTAACAAAAATTCGGGCTACAAGTTAATGAAAAACAAAGGTACGCCCAGCATAAGGTTTTTGGATTCAAGATTCCCTTTTTGTTTTTTACCTTATCTGTCGCATCGTGCAATGTGTAGCAAGTGTTGTTATACTTTGTTATTGTGCAATGTGTAGCAAGTGTTGTTATACTTTGTTAAGTCCTGATTTTGAAATGCACAGCTCAATGAGTGAGATACCTATTTTATTAATGAGTGAGATACCTATTTTATGGACATATATGTGGCATCAGTTCAGGTTGTTATCATGTGTTCTTATTTTGGCAAATGTTTACTTGGATTGGATATTGTGAGTTGACTTGTTAATGTCCACTTTAATGAGATTGGTACTTTCTATGAATGGTTCATTTTTTCAGTATTCCGATTTCTGTTTGAAATCTAGATAGCATTTTGACATTCAACAACAACAACATAGCCTTTTAGTCCCAAGCAAATTGGAGTAGGCTAGAGATGAAACTCAAGAGAACCAATGGTAAGAAAATATAAAAAGTGGCTCAAAACAAAAGAAAGAGATTGGAGCATTTTGACATTATCGTGGTTTTTCTTGTTGAAACATTGAAATACACCTTTTCTTATATCGTGGTGTGATGTTGCACTCAAATAGTAGATATATCTAAGAGAATGCAAAAGGTAACTAGTATCAGGTTGAAAACAAGGAATTGCTGGATTTTTCATCTAAAATGGAAATTCATATTAATCAAAGTATGCGCCACAACAATCTACTATTTGAAGGTGGAATTTAACCAAGAATAGGTCCCAAGTGCAACATTAGATATATCTACTATTTGAGTGCAACATCACATATAATGTCACGATATAAGAAAATGTGTATTTCAATGTTTCAACAAGAAAAGCCATAATGTCAAAATGCACTTAAAAAATGACAATTCATAGAAAATACCAATATCATTGAGGTGGGCATTAACCACTCAGCTCGCAAGCCAATTCAATCCAAGTAACACATCTGCCAAATAAAGAACACATGATAACAACATGAACTGCCACATATGTCCATAAAATAGGTATCTTACTCATTAAACTATGCATTACAAAATCAGGACTTACCAAAGTATAACACCACTCACTACATATCACTACACATTGCACAATGCAACAGATAAGGTAAGAAAACAAAATGGAATCTTGAATCCAAAAACCCGATTTTAAACAACGCTGGGCGTACCTTCCATCACCAGTTCCAGAAGCAAGTTTATGCATTAAAACAATATATGTCGATTGTTGCTTCATCTCCTTGCCCACTATATCCCCAGTCATACCCTCCATTTAGATTCTTAACGATACAAATTCGGAGTAATCATCGTATAATAAAAGAGCAATCATTTATCATACCATTCCCCAACTTAACCATCAATCAAATTTTGTTTCTTCCCCCCCAGCCATCACCACATTGAAAATGCCCACCTGAACTTTTCTCTCCCATTAACAAAAATCACCATCCCCTATCATTATTCCCATCATGCACCTCAAAATCCCAACCTCCACGTCTTCTCAATGTAGACCCACCGAAAAACGACCCGCTCCTTCTGCTCGTCCTCGAGTTCGAACTCGTGCTAGAAGCCGAAGACCCACCACCCCTCCCAAAACACGCAAACAGATTATTCAAAATCCTCCTCAGCCCGCCACTCTCCCTCGACACACTTCCACTTGAACCCCACGAGATCCTCCTTGGCACCCCATTGTTCGGAAAACCGCCATCAACTTCCGTGTAAACCACCGGAAGCTCCCTTTCCACTCCCCTCCTGCCACCGGAAAATCTCCCCACTGCAAAACCACCACCCGGAAGCCTCCATATAGTCAGCCCAACCGTCTCGTCATCATTCTCTACCTCATTCGATCCTCCTCTGCTGGCCTCGAGCGTGCTCCGGCTAGCGTTGATGGTATCCATATCAGTGGGAAGTTCGTGTCTGCACACAGGACACGAATTCGTGAGAGCAAGCCATGGCAGGATACAGTCGTGATGGTAGAGATGCTTGCAGGGCATCTCGCGGGCATCGGTGCCCAGCTCGAAAGGCTCCTTGCAGACGGCGCAGTGAGACTCAACCGATATGTGGCCGTCGTTTATTTGGACGGTGGGCATGGACTCGACGGCGGCCTTGGAGGCGGGCGGGTTGTTGTTGACTCTCGCAATCCCGTTCGCTTCGATTTGAGACAGCTGATCCAGTAACCTATCAAATCCCGACCCTAACAGAAACTCCGACATACTTGCCGGTAAGGGGCGCAGGCCCGACCCGGATCCGTCGTCGTAGTACAATTCAAACCTTCCCCCCTGGGGTGCCGCACCTCCACCGCCGCCGCCGTCGGGGCCACGTAGAACGATAACCGGATTAAACGGCGACCGATCTCCTCCGTTCCTGCGGCCCCTTCTCAGCCTGGGGCTGGTGACCGCGACGGATACGGATCCGGATCCCGATCCCGATCCCGACCCCGACCCGGGGCCCAATTCGGGGGTTCGGGGCATGTACATGTCGGCGGCGGGGAAACGGCGGCGTCCGGAGTCGGATAGGGGAGAAGATCTGCCGGGATCGTCGATCTCCTCAACGAATCCGCCGTCACAGTCGGGGCAATTGACGCAGTCTTTGTTTAGAATCCGCACGAATTGGTTGCAGCCGTAGCACCAGTGGGTCGAAGATGAAGACATGGATGTCGCGCAAGAAGGTTTTATAGATCGGAAAACAAAAATTGATGATCGGAAAATGGATCTTTGACCAAGAAAAGCTCGGCCGGAGATTGGTGGTGATGGAAATGTGGGGATGATTGGGAGTTACAATTGCCAATGAGGGGTAACTTTTGGTAATAAAGTTGTTACGAAGGGGTAAATATGGAATATCGCCTGATAGGGGACTGGTGCCGCGGTGCGTTTTTTTTATTAATAATCGGAAGGCCGGATTCGAGGACACGTGTTGAGCCAGTTGAGATGTGGAGTTTCTCGATTTTGCTCATGTTTTCGATCTAATAAAATCTTTAAGGGGGATTGTATACAAATTGTAAAAAAATCAATCAAAACTCAAATTTAACTCAACTCCATTATCTTTAATATTATCAATATAATTAAATAATATCAATCAATTATTCTTACACATCATATCAACTTTAATTCACTATTCATCTACTCACATAATTTTAACTAATTATCACTTCCAATCATTTTCTTCTACTTTTACATTAAATCAACTTTAATTATTTTATTTTAAATATTATTTTAATGTATTCACTAATAACTAATCATACCACTTTTTTTCAAACTTAACTATAATTAAAAAATGAAAAATGCTACATTACCAACATAGTGTAGAATTAAGTTGACAACACAAGTGAAAATATCTACTTGTGTATTTTTTTATTTTTATTTTTTTAAATATTTTTACTTGTGTTGTCAAACTAGTTGTATACTAAGTTGTCAACGTAGCATTACTCTTAAAAAATAACTAATTTTTTACTAGTTAAATTTATATCCAATCAGCCCCTAAATATCTCCAATGATGTCAATTGTAGAAACAGTGCAATCAGAATCTTCTGCAACGAAGATGTGGCATGAAAGAGACAATAAATTTAAAACTCTTTCTCTGTTAAACTTGATGAGTCACCCTTTTTTCTCCCATTTATTTCTTTTATATATAATTAGGTTAAGAAAATTTTAATTTATAATCTAATTCGCTGATTAAATTATTGTTTGCTGTTATTTATTTGTACACAGTTTGTCAAAAAACATATTAATTTACATAAATAAAAATAAAAGAAAAAAATCAATGCATCTCTAAACTTATATTATAAATTTATTGATATTTATTAATATATATTTTGTCAAAATTATGCATTAACATACATAATACAGAAAAGAAAAAACANAACAGATCATAAAATCTGGCATAATATTATTGTAAGGTTGGACAGTTACTGGAGAAATTCTTCGAAAAACATCTTATGAATATACCTGATGATAGGGAAAACATGGGCAGTGGCAGATTGATGGTAGCGGATCTAAAGCTATGACAGTACTTTGTTTATGTTCACTATTCAATGTGAATGAAATTGAAGAATGAGTGACACTATTAAATGTGATAAATATTGATGGGTTGTAGCAGATTGATGGTAACGGATTCAAAGCTATGATGCTTTTATAGTACTTCGTTCATGTTCACGAAATTGACGAATGAGTGACATTATTATTTCTTTTTTTGCGAAAGAAACGATTTTATTCAAAACAGCTTGATCCAAAAGAAACGATTTTATTCAATGGTGTTCTTAGTTTGATCCACAACCACCATTTTTTGAGTTTCTTTTGGATCAAGCTATCAGTTGTTGCCGCCCAGAATAAATTTTTGAGTTTTTTCCTTCACAGATCTTGATCCACCATTTGAAGCAGCCTGCTTGTTCCTTGCAACCGTCCCAATCAATAGGAGCTAAACACCAAGCAGTTGAGGCTCTTTCACAAGTAAAGAATATATGTCCAATAGTTTCGACTTCCATCCCACAAAGTTCACAAATGAAATGGTTTTGTGATTTCCTCAACCATAAATTCCTTGATGTTGGTAATGTGTTATTCAGGATTCTCCACATGAAGTGCTTCAGCTTCTGTTTCACTTTGAGGGCCCAGGTTACTCGCCACATTCTGCTACTCTCTGGAGTGTCTTTAGAGATATGTTCAAGCTTTAGGAAGGTATTGTAGGCAGACTTCACACTGAAATTCCCTTTTTGATCATAGTGCCGCACCATTATATCAGAGTTATGTGGATTCTTCAAAGGAGTGACCCTATTAAATGGGAATGAAATTTGACGAATGTGTACAGTGATATAGTGAATTTTAGAGCCATGTGTGGTCTCTGTTTTCAGTTTATCTTAGCTCCATCAGGTGCCGCTTTATATAATGCATGGTTTTTTTTAGATGGAACCCAACTCTTCGTTGTGAAACATCATCGATGGTTTTTGGTGGACAAATGGGCGATTTGAAAATATACTTGAACTAAACAAAAGCTAGGGCACTTCAAGCACAAAAAAACATTGGCATTTTCTCATTCAAACTCTACAAGCCCACACGATGATGTCAAACAGACCGGACCAAAAACAGGAAATAGGCTTCTACAACAGTGAAAAGCACTCACAACTTTACCACTTGATTAAAAATCTTCCAAATTTCCAGCCAACGACAAGAACTATGAATTGATAATCCTTTTCACTGTTCATAGGATTAGATATTATTCCAATACAAACTCCAAAGATATCATCCTAGAGGAACTCTGGCTTTATCCATTCCAGTTATAGACAAAACATTGTTATCCTTGAACTAATGATGTCATATCTATAAGGTTTCGACAAGGAACAAATGCAATGAACGGTACATCTCACTTTCACAGACTAACCGGTACATCTCACTTTCACAGACACTGCCTATGCATGCTGTTCTCCACTAGCCACAAGGAAATCAAGACGTAACACATTTGATCACATCGAACGATTCTGGAGCATTACAGATAGGCTATGGAGTATTAGTTTTGCGACTTGAATCAGTAAGCATACAAACCCTATACCATTTTATCAAGATCCAACACCAACATGCTATCACAATTTGTAGAATGCAGAAAACCGATAGCAAAAAGAGGAATTGCACGTATTTAACACCAACTAAAAATAATCTGCAACATTAATTGGCTTCTGGCCTTTGTCTTATCAATACAAATATAATGAAGGGAATTCTGTTTTCTATCAATACGAAAAATAGCGAAACAAAACGTATATACGAGGCTGAGGCTGAGGCTGATATTAACCAAGTATGGAGAATATATTTATCCAGTCATTTCACCACACAAAATACTGAAAAAAAGAAAAGAAAAGGAAATTGTTACATAAAAACACACCTCAATTCAACCAACTGAATACTGTGGTGTAGCCCTAGAAGCCATACTTGCAACCTGAGCCTGCATCTGAATGGCCCTTACTTTCGAGGCTGTGGCTCGATGGAAAAACTGCTCTCTCGACAAAAGCCTCACATTTCTCAAGTACTGATCAAACGGTATAGCCCCTTCTTGCACGGCCTTGTCCAATGCATATACAGCATCCTCAACAGCCAAATCCGATGCCGTGCAATCCAGCATCTGTTTCGAAAGGGCATCACCCGGATTAAATGCCTCGTCCACATCCACATCACCACTCCCCGATTTCCCTTCATTCTCTCTCAACCATCCTTCTAAAATATCGGTGTTCATCAAGACCATCTGCAGCTGCTGCTCGAGTGCTTCCTTCTCGTCTAGCATTTCCTTCAGCCCTTTTCTCAAATCCTCTTCTCTGCTTCTCAGCATTGCCTGAGCCCCGAAAAACCCTTCCATCTCAACCTCCCTTGCTTTCCTCATCTCCCGAATATCACCGTTCAAACTCTCCACGAGCTTGTTTATAGCGTTTTTCTTGAAAACCTCAGCAGGATCCTCCATGATCCTTCCACTACCATATGGTGGCGGTGGGGTTGGCGTGGGAGGATAAGCAGTGGTGGACCCCACGGACGAATTAATGCTGCTGAAGGCTGGATTCAAATTGGAGCTAGGGTTGGGGTTAGGGTTAGACGGCTTACGCTGGGAATAAAGAGGCGGGTCGCGGGCGAAGAAGTGGCTCAGATTCCTTGCTAATTCAACCAAATTCGAGGACGGGAAGACCCACGAGTGTATGTACGGGATGGAGACGACCCCGTTGGGGGAGACGAAGGGGTGGGGCCGCTTGATGATCATGTCGCGGGTGGGGTTGACGAAGACCAGCGGCGCGTGGCGGGGGTACGACTCCGTGAGCCAGATGATGACGGGGATGTTGTAGGTAACGCCCTGGAACGACATCGGGACGGTGCCGTCGGCCTGGAGGAGGTTGACAGCGCGGCCGTCGTTGTGGGTGAAGACGGCGGTCTTGGGCTGCAGGGACGGGTAGGTCTCGATGAGGTGCATCAGGTGCTGGCGGACGTGCCACTTCGTGTCCTCGGCGTACGGCAGCGCCGCCGGCCCCCGCTGAGAGAGGACGCTGTTGAGGAACTGCTGCGTGAATTGGGTCATCAGGAAATTTCAGTCCGGTGGACGACGGCGACGAATTAGGGCGGCGCGTGTGGAACGGAGCCTCTGGTTGTTGTGTAGATCTCGATTGCTCGGTTGGTGGATATCGGGAGGAGACTGTAGTTGGAGGGTTTCGATTGGATTTCTAATGGGAACGGATGTGAAGAGAAGAAGAAACTCGATATTGAAGTTTGGAAATTTTCACTGTGATTCCTTTACCTATTGTCGGCCTTTTTTTGGTTTTCAGGAAAGAATGGTAAAAACCAGTTTTAACATCACCAGATTTCGGGAAAATTAGACAAAACGTCCTATAACTTTCATACTTTTTAGATTTGGTCCTGTTTGTTTTCAAGTTTGGTTTTAGTCCGTAAAAAATGAACCCAACGGGCCGATTTCGACCGTTTAGCGTACGTGGCTGCTGACATGGACCCGTTTCTCCTACACCTGCTTTAAATTACACAAATTGGGAGGGAAAATGTCATCATTTCCCTCCAACCTTCGAGCACTAACATCGGCTTTTTTTTTTCTCTGAACTCAAATACAGAAATTCATGGATTCTTCATCTTCCGCATCTGATCAAGGTTCCCATTCCGACTTTGAAGATAATGATTATGAGTTAGAAGAAGAGGTGGGTGATGATGACAATTTGTTTGAAAAATTCATAAATTTTGATGTAGAATGGTTGCCAAATGTCGAGAGATGGGTTGTCAATGAAGATTTACATCAATCTGGGGAGGAGGATTTAATCCCAAATGATGATGATCTTGCTAGTCTCAATGGTTCAGATAGTGAAGGAGAAGGAACTAGATTCCCTAGTTTCAATCCAGTTCACATATTTAACCCTAATTTCGTCCTGGGGATGGTTTTCTCTAATAAATCGGAGCTTAGAAAAGTAATTCACTCCCATGCCATCGACACAAAAAGAAACATCAAGATAACTAAGAATGACAAGACGAGGATGCATGCGAAGTGCACAGGTGAAGGGTGCAAGTGGAAATTACATGCTTTAAAGCTGAGTGATGAAGAAACCTTTCAGATAAGGGCTTATGTTAGTCAACATACATGTGTTCCTTCGTACAAGGTAAAAATCTAACTTGGTATCTCGCCGCAGTGGGCGAACCTCTCTCCAGACCTCGGTTTTGGGCTCTTTCAGCGTGGCTTGTCGTGTCACCTCCCAAGGCGTCTATTTCTCTCCCGATTGAAGAATGCGGGAGATCAGATCTGAGCTGAGACATTATCGGGCTGATGCTACGCTGAGGCTAACACAGGTCGGCGAGCAGACATTACCGAACTGATGCAGCGTCGGACGTTGACGACAAAAAGTGACGGCTAAAAGCTGGCTGTTTTTTGTAGTGCACTAGGAAGTCTGGGCATTTGTACAAAGTCCCAGGCGACACATGATGGTCTGGTTAGTCAGGTTTTACCTAGAAACCAGCAACCAAATGACAACCATACTGGCGGGTCGTCGAGCTCGAAGATCTGAGGTTCTCAGGGTTGTTGCTGGTTGTTCCCGACTGTTGGGCGAAGGTTGTTTACGGTTGGACGTCACGATGATGTTGCTGATCGGAGCTGTAGACGGACATCTATAAACGGACATGATAGGACGGCGAACATAAAGGGCGATATATCTCGTCGATTTTGCGTGGACCGCTGGCCAGACTGGAGCAGATGTTGAAGGCGATGATTAATTGTAAGTTTAATTATATGTCATTGATTGTTATTTAATGGTCATAATAGTTGATTATTTATTACTTCTATGTTTATTACTCTCTCCTATTCATTATATATGTCGTTTTGACAAGTTGCACAATAAATNCCATCTTTAATGAAAATTAATAAGATGAAAATTAAGAGTGAATATGAAAAAGCGTAGTGTATTTATTAGCTGAGGATAATAATAGAAACATATGTATTAAAGATCCAACACGCCATTTATTTAGTTAATAGTTGATAAAGACAAAATGACATTTAAAAAGAATATGATGTAGTATTATTAATTATTCAATGTGCATCATGTTTATTTGATATGCATAATATTTATTTACGGGATGTGCACATTAATTGTCTAATATGCATGATAATTATTTAGTTGCTTATTTTTTATAGAAATTAATTATGTTAATCAAATTAGTTGCTTTATTTTCATGATAATTAATTATAAAAATGCATATTAGGAAAATCAATAATGAGATATTTTGAATATAAATAAATATATTTAATATAAAATTATAAAAAAATATATTATTAAGAAAACAGCTTCTCCGTGCATCGCAGGAGATGCTCACTAGTTAAAATGATGCATCTTAAATTAACATAATTAAAAAATATACTTAAATGGCATTTAAAAAAATCACGATTTGCTTTGAAATTTTGACAATTCAAAATTTTCACCTAGTAAAAGTTTTCAATTCGGTTTAGTTGCATTGTTGGTGAATTTAGTTTAATGCACTTTGCACTTTTTTCTTTAAAGAAAATTTTATTAATATCACCGAATTTCATAAGAAAACTCTATTTATTTATTTTTCCGCAGTCACATTAAATGAAAAATAATCGGTCTGCAGACTGCAGCGTACCCTTTGCTTCCCTATGAAAAAAAAAAATAATACAAAAACCAGAATCGTGTGGCTGAATGACCGATACACTGACCGGTCTATCCGGTTGTCCATCGACTCTTCACCATTCTATTTATTGAAAACACAGCAAAAATAAAAAACCTAACCCTCTTAACTCGGTTCTTTTCCAAATCTCGATCGAATTGACAAGAAAACTGAGCCACAGCCACCGATTTCAGGTAAGCTTTTCTGAACCCATTCTCCTTTTCCTGCTAATTCACGTATTTTTCACTGTAGATGAGAATGTTGGTGTGTTTTCTGAACTGGATTCATTCGTTGCATTTCATGAATGCCTGTGAAACAACAATTGATTTGGGGAGCCGAAGAAAGTTTTTTGTTGCGGGGTTCTCTAATTCAGATGTAGTATATGTGTATTGCTGTGTTAAAGACAACATTTTTACATTTTTCGGGCTGAATGCATTTTTTATTTGTTTCTTTTGCTTATTCATCTTTCTAGGGCTTTTGGTTTGTGAACCACAATTTTGGATATCGCACGGTGGGTTTTTTTCTTCCCCTCCTTTTCGAATTCACTTTGTTTGAAACGGGCATGGAGGAGCCGGTGGCAGTGACTTCGCAAAAGCACGACCCGGCATGGAAGCACTGCCAGATGTTCAAAAACGGTGACAAGGTTCAACTCAAATGCATATACTGTGGAAAAATTTTCAAAGGCGGCGGCATTCACCGCATCAAAGAGCATCTCGCGGGCCAGAAAGGCAACGCCGCCACTTGCCTCCGAGTCCAACCCGACGTCCGCCTGCAAATGCTGGAGAGCCTAAACGGAGTCGCCGTGAAAAAGCGTAAAAAACAGAAACTTGCAGAAGAAATCTCAATATACGACAGTCCCGTGGCAGCCCACAGTACCGAAACCGCAAACAACAACAACGGCCCCTTAAGCACAGAAGTCGTTTTGCTCCCCTTACCCGAAACAGCCGAGCACGAACCAGACGTGTTCGTAAACCGAGAAGACACAAGTGGAGTAAGAAAGAAGAAAGGAAGGGTTCGGAAAGCTCCGGACACTTCTTCTTATCCCTGCCTTCTCCCAGCGCCTCCCACGAACAACTCGAGGAAAATAAGCAGCACAGTCAACATGGCCGTGGGCCGATTCTTCCACAACGTGGGCCTTCCCCCCGAAGCCGTGATGTCGGCCCACTTCCAGCCCATGCTCGACGCCATAGCCTCCCAAGGGCCCGGTGTCGTGGGCCCCACTTACCACGACCTCCGAGGCACCGTCTTACGAAACCTCGTCCACGAGACGAGGGGCGAATTCGACCGATGCGCGTCTGCCTGGACGAGAACCGGCTGCACGGTTTTAGCAGACGAACGCAAATCATTCGTCAACTTCTTCGCGTACTGTCCCGAGGGCACGGTTTTCCTCCGCTCGGCTGACGTGTCACACGCGCCCGACTCGTCTGACCTCATATTCGAGCTGCTGAGGTCAGCGGTGGAAGAAGTTGGCTCGAGAAACGTTCTCCAAGTGGTGACGGGCTCTGACGAGAAGTACATTCTCGCCGGAAAAAGGCTGGCTGAACTCTACCCGACTCTCTTCTGGGCCCCGTGTGCTGGAAAGTGCATCGATCAGATGCTTGATGACGTGGCGCAAATCCCGTCTGTGAATGCTGTTCTCGAACAGGCAAAATCGGTCTCGAAATACGTGTACTCGAGTGGGCCTGTCTTGAACATGATGAGACGGTACACGTTTGGGGTTGACTTGGTTGACTTGGGTCCGACTCGTTGTTCTACAGATTTCATGACTTTGAAAAGAATGGTGGGGATTCGAAACCATCTTCAGTCGATGGTCACGTCTGAAGAATGGATGGAGAGTCCATACTCGAAAAGTCCAGGCGGGTTTTCGGTTTTGGATACGGTCAGCAGCCAGTCGTTCTGGTCAGCTTGCTCATCGATAACTCATATAGTCGAGCCAATTTTACGGCTTTTGAGGATAGTGAGTAGTGGGAATTGGCCGGCTATGGGGTATGTGTATGCAGGTTTGTACCGTGTAAAGGAGGCTATAAAGAAGGAGCTTGTTGTGAAAGAAGAGTATTTGGTGTATTGGGATATTATTGATCGGAGTTGGGAACTGCTGGACAGGCACCCTCTTCATGCGGCGGGTTTTTATTTGAATCCCAAGTTTTTCTACAGTCTTGAAGGAGATGCGCATCTTCGTATTCGGTCGTTGGTTTATGATTGCATAGAGAAATTGGTGCCTGATCCGACGGTCCAGGATAAGATTATGAAGGAAACTGCGGCTTATCATGGAGGTGCGGGGGATTTTGGTCGAAAGATGGCTATCAGAGCTAGAGACACTTTGCTTCCTTGTGAGTCTTTTTTTCTTTTTCGTTTTTTTTTTTTTTTTTTTTTTTTTTTTTTNTTATTGAAGCAAAGCTGTTTGCCTGTATTTTGCATGATTATCTGTTGCTAGAGAAGAGAGTAGCAGTTGGTACTTTTGCCAGATACAATAGTGAAAGTAGTTATTACTGATAGGGCAATTACAAATTTTAACCGCTGAGGCTTAGTATATTTTTGTATATATTTGAGAATTACAAGTATTTGTAATCTATGGGATATATGTTTAATCTCCAGAGTGGTTTGTTATTTTCAGATTTGTCCTTCTTATTTATTTTTTTTTGGTACGAAACCTCGGGTGTAAATTTTTGTGAGTATATTACTGTTTCAGCTGAGTGGTGGCTAACTTATGGTGGAGGATGCCCTAATTTGGCTCGATTAGCTATCCGCATTCTCAGTCAAACTTGCTGCTTGATACATCACAAGACTGATAAAATTCCTCTCGATCACATGCACGAGACGAAAAATTGTTTGGAACATCAGAGGCTTAGTGACCTTGTCTTTGTCCAGTACAACATGTCCATGAAGCAAATGTAAGTAGACATATAAATTTCTCTTTCATTTTTTTTTTTTCATTATTAAAAGTTTAGAAAAAAAGGTCGGTTGCAAATATAATGCAGATAATATTTCCTCTTGATTAATTTGCAGTGTTACGGGCAACAAACTACCCAAAGCTGTCGATCCTATTTCTTATGAACACATTAACTTGGTTGAGGATTGGGTTGTGGATAATAATAAAGACTTATGCTCAGAGGGCTCTGAAAATACAGAATGGATGGCTGTTGATCCACCTTTGGGTAATGTTATGTCCCTGGGCCCACAAACCGACGATGTTGAGGCTCTCGGTGCAGGTAAAATGGAGGTCTAGAGAAAAACGCTAATGGATTTATTTATTTATTTATTTTTAAGTCCGTAATTTGAAATAGTTTTTCACTCTGCAGGATTTGATGATTACGAAATTTTTGACCGGGTGAAAGATGGTGAAGAAAACGGAGAAGACAAAATAGAGGACCAAATAGGTTGTTCGCCAGCGAAATTTCCCTTGATAAAGGCAGAGGAAGAAGACGCGGATAGAGGCTAAAGTAAGAAAACATCGTTAAGTTAAACCAAGTCAGATGAGTATATATTAGCTCACTTGAAACAATTTCCCTTGGTGAATTTGGAAGAGTTTTACGAATTTATTTATGCTCATGTAGAAGAAATACTATAAATTCTCTTGACTCTGCCCTTGAACTTGCATGTATATATGGATTGTATGAATATCTTAAATAGTGAATAAATATGCAACATTTTTATTCGAATTTTCGATCCCACATCCTATATGGATAGGTGGTGTTCAAATACAGCATGTTTGTTCTCTGCTAAACTTTGCTGATTGTTCACAAGGAGTTGAGGATAACATTTGGAAAGAAAACTATGCTAATCAAAACTGAGTGTGACATATACTCGGTTTGAATCATTGATGAGGAAAGTGAGTGTGACATTATTTCCCTTTCTTGCTTTTCTGAACTGTTTTGTTCGAAGCAGCTGGGTTTGGCAGAAGCATTTAAGATTAGGCTGTTCATGTTCAATCCCAAAAAAGAAAAAAAAAAAAAAAAACNAATTTTAATATTTTTTTTTTTTTCAAGTTGCAAGGGCAGTTTAAGAGACCATGTAGAAAATACAGCCAATTTGTTGCAGGAAAACACAAAATTACAGGACAAACTTATATGGTACTCCTTCAGCACATACACAGATAACCCACTTTCAACCAACACATACAGAACCAAATGAAAAAAGGACTTAACTATCTTTTCAACATTTTAGTTTTTTTGATCTTTCATATATCAACTCCTTAAGATCCTATTTTTCAACCGAAGAAAGTCCCTCTCTCAATAGCGTCCTTGTTAGCTTCACCAAGCGCAGCATCTTTCAAGTACTTGTCAGCCAGTTGGACCCTCTTCACATTCTCCTGCTCTTGGACGAGCATAAACCCGTATTCGAGTAGCTTCTCAAGCGTCATCTTGGGCTGCTCGAAAATCGGTGGGCCCTCCCTCGAGTTCACGAGCTTCCTCCCGATTTTCTCCACTCCCACTCCTCCGATCCACTTCCTAACCTCGTCGTCATACACTCTTGCTCTCAAAGCTCCAAAGAAATCTTCAAATAAGTATATGTACACCAAAATTAATACATAAAATCCAATAATATGTTTCGAAATGTAAACCGTTTTTTAAGTTTACCTATGGATTGTCCGGGAAAGGTGTCGACAAGCTTGACAACTGCCGCGTCTGGCAAACTGTCCGTTCGGAAGATACCTCTGCAGACCCCTATACGATCCTCGCGGGTCGGGGCCCAGTAGAATTTCTCCATACGTCCGTCACGGATCAACGGAGCATACAGAGTCGAGAAGTCGTTACCCGTGACAATAATCGGTACGCGCGGATTCACCTGCTTGTTGTACATTCCCGGGAGTTGTACGTTGGTTGGGTTATCGGCAATGTTCATGAGAGTAGCGTTGACCATTTGATTGTTGACCGTGTACTGCGTGGTCCCACCCATACGACCAGCGCCAGCATCGAGATCGTTGATAAACAGACAACACATTTTACCCTTCTTGATGATGTCAGCGGCCTCACGGTACCTCTGCCTGATCAGCTTCGCGGGCTCCCCTGCATTCCCACTCTCCAATTCTCCGGCGCTCATCATGATTGGGCTGCCGAAAAGTAAAACGAACCGAACTTAATATCGAACAAAAGAGAAAAAAAAAAAAAAAAGAAAAAAAAAAAAAAAAAGTTTGACGACACACTTGATTCCCATCTTGGCGAACACGAGCTCACACTGGAACGTTTTGCCCTGTCCTTTGCCTCCCCATATACCTAAGATAAGCGGGACTTTGATGTTCGGCAATGTCATGAAGTTCTTCGAAATGTGGACGATGAGCTTGTCCATGAAGGCCGGGGCAATGTATAATCCTCCCATCGTGTTGTCGAATTCGTATCTGCAAAACAGTCGGGGAGGAAAAAAGAATTGTAATTTATACTAAAATCGAGACGATTGTATTTGTAGATATAGTTGATCGATTGTACTACGTACTGGCGGAGTCCGTGGCTGATGTACTCGTATGAGCTTAGGACAGCGTCGTGAGTGCCCAAGGTGGAACCGGTGGGGGCTTGGAAGAGTGTGTCGGTCATGCCCTTGCCTCGGGTGATGTCTTGTTGATCGTCTGATATGTCAGTCACGAGACCCTTCCACCTGTCTGTTTGCTTCTTCTCGTCGATCTCAGCCGCCACCCTGAAGAAGTTTCCGGAAGTTGAGGAGGAAGCTGTCGGTCTTTGGACCGGCTTCTTCAAGCCGGCTCCAAGGAAGGACGAGGTCGGGAATGCGGGCCCCGCACCCGATTCGTTCAAGTTAAGCTGCACGCATAAATATATAAGTGGTGATGTCACTGATGCTTGGATATAATTTTTTTTTATTTGATTGGATTTTTTGTTTTAGTTTGGTTAATTTTGAAAAAGATGGTATGGTTAATTATTAGTGGATATATTAAAATAATATTTAAAATAAAATAATTAAAGTTGATTTGATGTAAAAGTATGAGATATATGATTTGAAGTGATGGTTAGTTAGAATTATGTGAGTGAATGAATAGTGAATTAAAGTTGATATGATGTGTAAGAATGATTGGTTGATATTATTTAATTATATTGATAATATTAATGATAGTAGAGTTGAGTTAGAAAAAATGATTAGTTAAAAATGTTTGAATTTTTCTGGATAGATTTGTATCCAATCATCCTCTATGAGACTATGACCATGTAGCTTTTAAAAAGATAAAAAAATAGCCACTTTTTGTGAAAGTATGAAAAAATAGTCATTTTACTATGTGAAATGACACAGCTACCTTTTAACTAATAAATTGCTCTGACAATGGAAGTTTTGATGGTAAGGATAATTATGTCATTTCACATACCAAAATGACCATTATTCATTATATTTTATTTTTGCATTTGTTAATTGGCTATAAAACCAAGGGACTGTAAATATAATTGTTTTTACTCTTTGCACGAAAAGTACGAAATGTAAGGGACGAAGAAATACCGGCACGGCCGGCACACGGTTGACAGCTCCGATGGTGGACACGGCGGCCGCCATTGATTGGTTGTAATTAGAAATTGATTGAGATGATTATTGATGTGTGAACTGATATCCTATGTGGAAGTATGTAGTCTGAGTGGGATAGAGAGTGATTATATAGAGTGATATATATATATAGCAGTTTGAAGAGGGATAGCACATAGGGAAACGTGAAGGATTGGGTTATGGAGAACCCATGACCACATAGTTGTCGCAAAGTGCCAACGTGGCAATTCAAGATTTATTTCATCAATAATAGTTCAATAACAGAGATATATGTGCGCGTTGAAAAAGAAAAAAGAGAGGCGAGGCTGGAATTTTTGCTGCACTATTCTCCACTTGTTAAAAATTGTTGCTCGTATTCGTTATTGCCATGTATGACTCCGCCATGGGCATTGTTATTTTAATGTTGATATTTTAAATTTAATGTTGGAATTGAGTCTTGGTTTGGGTTTACAAATTGCAAGCAGTAGTTAGGATGAAGATTGGTAAGAATACGGTACTGATATTAAAATATTTATCATTTTGTTTATGGAAATTTTTAAAAAAATTTCCTATATTTTAATTCAACTATTTTTTTTAACTCAACTTAATTCAACTCAACTATCATCAATATTATCAATATAATTAAATAAGATCAATCAATCATTCATATACACCACATCAACTTTAATCCACTATTCAATTCACCCACTTACATTATTTTAACTCCACATCACTTCAAATCATCTCTCTCCTACTTTATTTTCACAATTGGAAAAAATTTGGTGCCGCCAATTTTTTCCACCATATTTTGGTCGATTTTGAGATTTTCGTTGTCTTTCTCCTCAAATTTGCTGAGTCATCCTGTGGAAAAGGATGTAGATATTTCATAATCTCTATCACAACGTAGAAAATAATTATTGTCAACTCAGCACAACATTTATCTTTTATTTTACCATTTGGAAGGCAAAATGTGAACTGATAGTTAATTTTTGATCACGTGGCATGTTTTTTTCCACAACAACATCAAACATTGGAGATGCTTTAACATTAGATTATCTCACACAATTATTTGTGTTTCCACTAATAACTAGTGTGTACCCCGTGCGATGCACCGGAACAATATTAAATTAACAATATTATAAATAGACCTCGAGTTTGAGTCACTCAATGGCGGAAGTGAAAATTACTATTGATCCTATTTAAAGAGAGGAAGAAAAAAAATAATTATAAATTAAAGAAGAGGATAAACAATACTTAATAATTATAAATTAAAGATTCGGGATCAACAATGTAAAATTATTTTGTATAAAAGAATATAAAAAAAATTGATTACACACCATTTCAAAATTATTATTATACTTTTTTGTATAGTTAACTTATAATATTTGTAAAAATATTAGTAATTAGACCGATGAAAGTTAGCTTCTTAAAGTAGATAATGGATTTCTAGTAGTAATTATGAATTAGTTTCTATTTTATTTTATTTTATTTTTTCTTTTTAAAGATAATGGATTTATAGTAGTAAATATGAATTGGTTTCTATTTTATTTTATTTTTTCAAATATGTATCGATAAGGGATGAGATTTTTTAAACACCTGATACGTATGCAATGGGATTTTGTAATAAAAGAGATAAGCTCGTGTAGATTTATACGAAAAATAGGAAAAAGAAAAACAAATATTTATTGTCAAACAACGGTTTTGATAAACTAAAAAACAGGAAAAAGAGAAACAAATCTTTACACAATTAATGAGCCGATTTTTTTGCCTATTCAGATTTGTCCAACAATTACTATATGTAGGATATATTTAATGATTTTGACGGGAAAAAGTTTCTAAATTTATAAAAAGGTTATCTATATATATTGAAAAAGGTTGATGGAAAAATCATTTGTGGAAAGTTAAAAAAATGAGTCAAAAGGTTTGACTTACCAGTTATGGAAATGATAGAAAAAATATTTTGTAATAATTGTAAGGGATTACGTGGTTAAAAAAATTGATTTGAAGATTTAAAATCATTAATGGTCCACACATTAATTTGGAAATCCATGAAATATGGATCAATTTTTTAATGTTACAATACAAATTCAATGTGAATTTTAGATTTGGTAGAGATCCACAAATTTGTTTGGAAATTAAGCTAGAAAATCAGATCAATTTTTTAATTTGAAAATAATTGTGCAGTTTGAAATTAAGCTAGAAAATCGGTTCACTAATTTGGAATTAATTGTGCAGTTTACGAGTACCAAGGAGTGTTTTGATAATTTCACAAGAGTTTTGTTTGAAAACAACACTACTTTTTTACTGGTCGTGAGTTTGTTTAATTCAAAGTTTTTTATTTTTTATTTTTTTGCAAAAACATTCAGTTTAGCAAATTTAATTTCCCTTTTTTTTTTCATTATTAGGATTCTTATTCCATTTTTCTATGCGATTTGATATATGAAAGATACTATTTTTTAAAAAATCTGTACAAATTTGTTTGTTTTCCACAAATTTCGAATGATATTTCCTAATGCATCTCATTTTTTATTTATCTGGTTGAGTTACATAACATGTTCAAACCTGTTTTTAAAAATTGTTGGTGCATAAAATAAAGAGAACTAAGCATTAAATCGGAATAAACGTTATTGCATACTTTTTATACTGATTTGTGGCATAAGTCATATTTATTAACTTACTTCAATGTGATTTTTTTTTTCAATTCATATATTCCCATTAAATATCATGAGACGAAATCATAAAACAATAATGTAAATAGACCACATTTGTTTAAACACTAATCACGATTCATATCTATATAAACCATGTCACCACACTAATTTGAATATATATAATAAACAATATCAAATGCAATAAATGTGATATATAATAAATAGAATATCAACATAAATTCGGTTTAGACACTTCATTGAAAGTTGTTGTGGGAGAAATTAACAATATGAATCATTACAAGCCATTCAGAGGAAAGTCTGTTGTTTTTGGTGGAGACTTTCAACAAATCCTCTCATTCATTCCGAAAGGAGTCGTCAGGATATTGTTAATGTGACTATTAATGCTTCGAGAGACTGTTCAATTTTGATGCCGGCGAAAAACATGTGTCTTCAATGTCTTGATGATAAAGATGAACGCGAGGAGCTAACTCGGAGGAGCTAACTCGGTTTGCTGATTGGATAGCGAGCTCGGAGATGGAACTATAGGGGGTTCAAGTGATGGTTGTGTTGTGATAGACATACATGAAGATATATTGATTGAACCCATCTGACCGTTCGATTGCACAAATTGTTGAAAGCACATATCCATGTTTAAGGAAGCAACCGGTGATCTCAGTTATCTGAAGGAGAGCCTTATTAGCACCACCGTTAGAGATTGTTGAGTCTATTAATCAGTACATGATGTCGTTGAATTTGGGTGAAGGACATACTTATTTGAGTTCTGACAGTATGTGCAAATCAGATTGTCAGAACGACTTTTTATCTAATCTACACACGCCTAAGTTCCTGAATTCTATCAAATGTTCTGGAGTGTCGAATCATGAGTTGCATTTGAAGATAGGAACTCCGGTCATGTTGTTGAGAAACATGGATATATACATGGAATTGTGCAACGTGACGCGATTGGTTGTTACAAAGCTCTCCGCTCATGTGCTAGAATGTAAAATCCTCGCTGGAGATCATTTAGGTGAAAATATGTTGGTTCCGCGCATGAAGCTAACCTCTTCTAATATTAGGATACCTTTCAAATTCCAGTGAAGACACTTCCCACTGATGGTTTCTTACGACATGACTATACAAGAGTAAGGGTCAATCTTTATTGCAAGTTGACCTATTCTTGATACTGGTATTCAATTACGATCAGTTGTATGTAGTTGTTTCACGCGTTACGAATCGTAAGGGTTTCAAATTTAAAATTGTGATGATGACGATGTATCAAAAGATCAAACAAATAATGTTGTGTACAATAAGGTATTCAATAATATATAATTAACATTTTGTTTTATTCCAATACATCTGTTTTATGTTATGACCAATCATCCAAGTATCCAAATCTAAATGCTTCCCTTAATAATACTAACCCGTGTATCGCACGGATACCGCACTAGTTCTTTTTATATAATGATAGATTGTATGAGTGCAGTAATGTTAAGGAGCCAACTGTTGGCTCCGTTATAGAGCCAACTGTTGGCTCCGTTATAGAGCCAACAGCCAATGAGATAGCTCCATGTGGGGCTATTCCACATGGGTTGGCTCCATAGCATTATTGTGTATGAGTGAAATAATATCTAGTAAAACATATCCATATTCCAACCCACTAGTGTATATCCCGTGCGATGCACGGAAGAGTTCATATTTTAAACATTTTTTAGACTTTATTTTAAATATAATTATTTATATTTTTTACATCTCGTCTATTATGAAAATAAAATAAATACAATCAATGAAAAATATATAATATTAAATACTTTTCTTTATACAATATTTTTTATTTAAGGAATATTATTAAACCTTACGGTTTTGATTTGTTTTTTTAAATCAATAATCCAAAATATATGATTGTCAACGTACAAAAAATAATGGAAATAATCCAGACTTTAAAGTAAAGCTATTTTTTATTATTTTACAAATAAAAATCTTCCAAATTTTTTTAATTTCAAAAAAAAATTGGCAAGTTTGATAATGAGTTCAATCAAGTTATACAAATGATTAAATAGTTAAAATGTTATATTAATTATATTTTAAGAAATCCGATTATATAAAAATGGATAAAAAAATATTATACTAATTAGTTTGTTAGGATTGTGATTATATGGAAGTTAAAATAAAATAAAATTTAACCAAAAAATTTGTTCGTGGTTTTTTTTTAAATGTTTGAATTTAAAATCTAGTAACCAAATTTACATTATATCACGTAAGGAAAAAAATAAATAATAAATACTTATTAAAGAGATAAATCAATAATATTTATCACTTAGATAATAAATAATAAATATTAACATGTAAAAAAATAAATAATAATATATTTAAAAATATAAGTCAAAATTTCAAATAAAGTAAAAGGAGGGATAATTCATTTTTTAAAAAAGTTTCTAAATATTTAATATATTGATAAGTATCTCCATAAGAATAATCATACCATTTTAATTTTAAAAAAATTGGCAAGTTTGTTAGAGAGATAAATCCGGTTAGACAAATGATTAATTTGTTAAGATATTATATTAATTGTATCATAAAAAATCGGTTAGATAATGTAGATAAAAAAATATAATACTAATTAGTTTGTTAGAAATGTGATAATGAAAACCAAGATAAAATGAAATTTACCCAAAAAAATTGTTTGGAATCTTTTCCTTTAAATGTTTGAATTTACAAATTTAATACCGAAATTCTATTATATCACATAAGGAAAAAATAAATAATAAACGTTTATTAATATATTAAAATATGTAATTTTGAATTTCATATAAAGTAAAAGGTATGCTTATTCAAATTTATTTTTAAAATAAAAGTTATGATAAACATTTATTGATTCTCTTTCAAATATATTAATAAAATAAAAATATAAATCTAAACAAATTTTGAAACAACCAAAAAAATCGGATTGATTGGCATAAAAAAAAGAAGTGAAATCGGATTTGAATGCTAAAATCGGAACACCTTACCAAATTGAATGCTAAAAGATTCGATTTGATTGGTTACCTAATTGCATGGACTGAAAAAATTCAAAAAAAAAAATTACGAATTGAAGAAGCGGGAAAAACACTATATTGAAGCGCGAAAACGAAATGATTATTTTTGGATTGTTCAAATAATTTTTCTTCTCCGTATTATATAGTAATAGATATGTAACCGGGTCGATCCACAACCCAATCTAATTGACCAGATTTATTCCAAGTATTTTTTAGTGTCTACAGATTAACCAGTAGCTTCACCAACGACACACACCTCCAATGGCGGCTGTTGCCTCACACTGTACTGCATTTCGCACACCAATTCGCTTACATGACCTTGTTCCTAAAGCTGATTTGGGTCTTTATTCTGTAAGATTTTCATCAAACCCCAATAGGAGTCTTGCTGTCTATGCTTTGAATGCTAATGGCGATGACAAGCACCAAAACGAAGCCGTTGTCTCCGTCTCAGACCCTCCTCTCGCGGTCGCTGCTAATCCTACCACAAATCCTAAGTATGTATGCCATTTATTATTTTCAAATAGTTGGTTTGCCTTTTTCTTATTTTATTTGTGGTAATCCATGGTGAACTGATTGCTTTGTTTTGAAACTCAGCTGATTGGGCTGATTGCTTTATGTTTGATGCTCATAAATGAGTGCTAAATTTTTATATCTATGACGTCCATTTTGGGTAGTTTTGAATCCCAGCTGCTTGGAAATGGGCTGTTGCTTATGATTTATGCCGTAAATGAGTGCTAAAATTTGTATATACATGATGTCCATTTTGGGTATTCTTGAAACCCAGCTGATTGGAAATGGGCTGATTGCTTATGATTTATGCTCGAAATGAGTGCTAAAATTTGTATATATATGATGCCCATTTGTGTTGCATATCCGTAAAGTTATTCGAAGTAAATAGAAAATTTCGAATTGAAGAACCAGATGATCTCGTAGTGTGTGTAGAATGGAGTACAAGCCTCAGTCGCTACTGAGTATTCTCTTAAATATTTGTGGGATGCTTAAACTATTACAACAACAACAACAACAACATACCCAGTATATTCCCAACAGGTTGGGGTCTGGGGGGTCAGTTGTACGCAGACCTTACCTTTGTAATTATACAAGGAGGTTGTTTCCGTAGCGACCCAAGGTGCATTGCGCCGTTTGATATATTTTTTTTTTCTAGAAACTTCACTAATAGAAGAAGCACTAGAATTTAATTGAGCCATTTTGATCTAGTCCATTATTAGCACTATGCCAGGAGAATTGTCAACAATGACTCTTCCAGCTCCATTTGCAATGGATATTGTTAAACTATTAGATGAAATGAAAATTAAGATTTGCGTGGATATTGTTAAATTATTGCAGTTTATTTTGGTTTGCTCTTGCTAAAAGGTTTTAGCTCATGCTTGTGGATCCAGGGTTAAACGTCACACAATTTCGGTATTTGTTGGTGATGAAAGTGGGATGATAAACCGAATTGCTGGGGTATTTGCTAGGAGAGGGTACAACATTGAGTCCCTTGCAGTGGGTCTTAACAAGGATAAGGCCCTCTTCACTATAGTTGTATCTGGAACTGAAAGGGTGCTACAACAAGTTAGGGAACAGCTTCTGAAGCTCGTGAACGTATTAAAGGTAATGATCCTATTGTTGATTTGCCTCGTAGCCCACCTCTAAAGATGAGTTATGTATTAGTATTTGAAATATCTTATTCGCGTTATGGTCTGAAGATGTGCTCTTGTTGCCCATGGCAAATATTTTTCATCTCTTGTTATTTTCTATTTTATACCTGCTTGATTTTAATGAGTGAATGTGGACCCTATTTTTCCTTTGTTCCAGGATTGGTTCTCAATATTTTCTAACATGAATTTACATTATTTTACTCGATTAGTTTGCTTGTTTGTGTTTGCTGAATGTAGTTTTTTATTTTTTCTTTTTGCAAACTTGATGACCAGGTTGCTGATATTTCACAAGAGCCACAAGTGGAACGGGAGTTAATGCTTATCAAAATCAGTGCCGATCCAAAATATCGAGCAGAGGTACTCATTAGGGTCTTAGGGTGTTAAAGGTTCATATTCATATTAATTTTACTAATTTATCATGTCTCGTATATGACTTCATGCGGTAACTTTTCTGATTGATATTCCCTTCTTGTGTGGCCCATTAAGTTTGTTGACTTTATTCTCAGGTGATGTGGCTAGTGGACATTTTTAGGGCGAAAATTGTAGACATCTCAGATAATTCGCTAACAATTGAGGTGATGTTTACTTTTCATTTTTTTCTTTACTTTTTTTTTTTTTTGGCANAGTCATTACATGATTAACGGTTTGCTGATGGAAACTACTAATGGCTATCTGTTCTAAGACTTATTGTTAATACTATATTATATCGACAGTTTCTGGTAGCTTTCTCGGCTGGCCTGTTAGTTTGAAACCTTCTCACCTTGATTTCTACTGATTGAGAAAACATCTGGCAACAAATATTTGTTTCTTCTCCATTATCATGTAACATGTGCTTCTAGCAAACTGCAATTATGGCAGTGAAAATTCTTTGATAGGACAGATTGGTTATTAACTTATTATTCATGATTTATGTTACAATATAAATTAGAATGTTGGTAAAGTTCGAACAGTGTGGTGACTTTATCTTTAGTTATTTGTTAGATATGCCTAGTTAATTTCAGTAACGAGCTCCTGTATCAAATGTATATCGGTCTTCTGGATGTACTATCTAAGGCCATAAGGTGTTTTCAGAGACTGTTATTTGCACCATTACTAGGAATGCCACCATTCTTTCCCCAAAAAATGCATTTTACCTGAAAAGAGATTGTACTTTATGGTTGCGTTTCTGGATTGATTTCGCATTTGGTAGCAATTTACTCATCATACAATTATAAGTTTTCTGGTAATGGGGTTATGGGGCAATATTGTGTGCTCGTTGACATTACCCTATTATCCTTTGACATTCTTCTATACAGGTTACAGGAGATCCAGGGAAGATGGTAGCTGTGCAAAGAAATCTGAGTAAATTTGGAATCAGAGAGATTGCTAGGACAGGGAAGGTAAGGTTTCTAAGAAACAGTCTATTGCATCTCTATTTTTCTTCCTTCCCCTGTCCTCATTTCATGTAAGTTCACATGTTTTGGTTGTTTTGGATGAGATTGCCTTGAGAAGAGAAAAGTTGGGTGAATCTGCTCCCTTCTGGAGGTTCTCGGCCGCTTCATATCCAGACCTTGAGTCAGCAAGGCCTGCTGCTACTGTTTCAAGAACTGTGAAGGGAACACTTAGCAGAGAATCTGATACTTCTGCCGGGGTATGATGATTTACTAGTCTTAAGCATGAGATATAAAATGATTTATGGAGTCCTTCTACCAAGTGTCTATGCTTTGATTTTCCTAAGATACTAGACTGATAATTAAACTTGTTGCAATGGTAGGTCACTGTAGTTTTTCAAAGGAATGGATAGATAGATACCTCTTACTTGCAAGGTGCAGATATTGAGTTTATGGAAATTGTTATAGTTACAGGGGTATTCAATTTCTATGCTGATGTTACATGTGTCTGTCACTGCATTAAAAGCCCAACCTCAAGTTTCAATTACGTGTTGACCTCTGATGTAGTGCTGATAGATGATAGATCTTTTTGGAAAAAACTAATTGGAATTGTCACAATTGCATTTGTCAACTCTCAAAGAACTTTGACAGACATGTTATCGTGGGTAGGTGATGATGTGTACTTAAAAAATCTCCAGTATGACCCGTGCACCAAAATTTTTTCCTAATTGAGTGTTTGTGTATAGTTTAAATCTTTTTGAATTTTCAAAGGCTGACATGCTTATCATGAGAATGTTCATTTTTAAAATTTTCAACTGAAAAGGGATAAATTACGAGAAAATTGTCTTGAGTTGTAGGTTGTGATGTTGGTTTCTATGAATAACATGTGCAATTTTACACAGTTGGAAAGTATAAGTCTCAAATAAATGTCTTAACACGTTGTTCGTTATATGAAGGGAGATGTTTACCCTGTGGAGTCCCCTGACAGCATTTCTATCAATCAAGTTCTCGATGCTCATTGGGGAATGTTGGATGGTGAAGATGTAAGAAGTTGTCTTCTTATCCATTTGACAGCACTTGCTTCGCTTTTAAATTGTGATGGTACATTTTGTTTTTAGTTTCTTTTGATCCCCTGTGGATATGAAATAACCTCCACAACCATATCGTAAATGCAAAGAACAGCATTTGTTTTAAGGTGAATCATGATATGCTATAAAAATGCATGAACATTTCTAATTTCTTATTGCTTTTGGATAAATGCACAGTTCTTGACTTCTTGTTCTTCGTATTCAATAAAGAAAATGACCTTTAGATTCTAGAATATTATTCTTCCTGAAATTTTCGGAAGGTACTTCACTAATACTTTTCCTTAAAGCTGTCAGACTAGTGGGCTCCGCTCTCACACGCTTTCCATGGTTGTCAATGATGTTCCTGGAGTCCTTAACCTCGTCACAGGTGTTTTTGCTCGAAGAGGATATAATATCCAAGTAAGTATTTTTGTTTTTATTTTTATTTTCTTTATCGTTTCCAATATACCAAAAGTGGGGAGGGGTATTAAGGTCACATCCCCAACCTATTTATTAGTCTAGCATGTATAGTGTTGTTGGATCTTTAAACGCATTGCTCACTAAATTCTGTCTTTGTTGTGTTTCTATAGCACACTTATAATTCACTTCTGTTTCCGTGTTTTTGTTCTTATTCTTAGAGTTTAGCTGTTGGTCATTCTGAAGTAGAGGGGCTTTCACGCATTACCACTGTTGTTCCTGGTACAGATGAATCGATAGGAAAGTTGGTGCAACAACTGTATAAATTGGTGGATCTTCATGAGGTGAGAGCATAATATTGTTATGTCAAGCTTCCATTTCTCCAACTCTAGAGAATCATAATATCATATAGATACTATTTACTGCATACAAGAATTGCCCTGGCTGTTATGAAATTTCCTTGAATAATTTTTGCTTATGAAAGTGACATGACTGGTGAGCTTTTATACTCTTCAGGTTCGAGACCTCACACATTTACCTTTTGCCGAGAGGGAATTGATGTTGATCAAAATTGCTGTGAATGCTGCTGCTCGGCGGAATGTTCTCGACATAGCTAGTATATTCAGAGCGAAAGCTGTTGATGTATCTGATCACACCATCACCCTCGAGGTAAATGGTGATGCGGATGTACATGGAATAAATATTAATTATGTTAAATGACTTAAATGGTGTGGCATTTATCGTGGTTATACTTTATAATAAGATTTGTGTGTGTGGACCATTTGCATGTTAAGCTCTACAGGTCCCATCAGCCAGTGAAAATGTGAAACGTTTTGTCGTAAATGACTTGCGGGTATGGCTTAATGTTGAATACATTTCTAAAGAAGATATACAAAAGCTAGTTGAAATAATGATACCAGTTTGTTATCGGGAAATAAAGATGAGTGATGCTAGGAGAACATAATGAATGACATAAAGTTGTTTTGCACATCAGATCATCAATATTCACTTAACCTTCTTCTTGTTCTTGATTTTGGCATTTGTACTCCTTATTTCAGCTCACAGGAGATCTGGACAAAATGGTTGCTTTGCAAAGGTTGTTAGAACCATACGGCATTTGTGAGGTACGACTTTCATACTTTATCTCTGACTCAGTTTCCTTCATGAGAAGATAAGATGGCTCTTATAGGTTCTTTTTAGTTGCCTCGATGGCCTGTTCAATAGGCTTTTGTCTTATTTAGATTTTCTGTTACTATTATGAACTATTGCTTGAGAGGTTAGCTCAACTATTGCTTGAGAGATTAGCTCATGGTTCTGTGATGGCTATGGCATACTAAGCTGCTACTGGGAAAGAATAATCCGGACTTATGTGAAATAAC